CCTTAAGGTCGTGAAATCAGCATGTATACTACGTAAGGGGAGATGCGAGTTGAAAAACAAAAGTTTTTTTCCGAAATCACATATTTTTCGTTTTCATTTTGCTTTCAAAAGTTTACTTTCTCTAATTTTATGACAAAAAGAAAAAAAAAACGGAAGGTTGTAATTGAACTTAAAGTAGGTTAAAGTGGCTGTTAACACTTTCCTGTCCACGCCTATCCTCATCAACAGTATGCTGCTGATGGCTTCAATAAACATTTTCTCGCATTCAGAGCGCTCTGGGGCAACTAGCGCCATCCAGTGCATAAAAGTAAAACTCTGTAGTTTCGCATTTGTGTTTTCTTTTTTCATCCGGGGGGGGGGGGGGGATTTTTAAAGCGCCTTTTAGACGTCACGCTAGACGAGCGCTCGTAGTTTCTAACACGACGTCGACATCGCACGTGGCTGCCTCTCGAAAACGGTGAATTTCAACGGATTCTGATGAGTCTGCATCAGAATTTTGTGATGGTGGTAGCAGCGATGACTCGGGAAATGACTGATTCATCAGAGTTTAGCACGGACGGTGAAAGTGCGTCAAACAGCCCCGGAACGACGACAGGTATCCGTCGGTTCGGTTTTCTACTCCGAACCGTTTCATTGCGGCGGCGATCAGATCTAAAGACATCCAGCGTGTTCTAAAGGTCGTAGTTCTTATCTGCAGGGTGTAAACGTCGTTCGAATGGGATCAACTGTTGGCGGCGGCACAGAGAGTGGAGTTCTGCGCGAGAAGACGCCGGGTGTTGACCTCAGCATTGCGCTCCGCAGTGCTGCGCGGCGCTTCATAAGAGCCACTATGGCTAAAATTTTTTTTGTATAAAATTAACTTGTACAGATAGAAAGTTCGTATTTGCAGTAATGTTATATATAGCATTCTTTTTTAAAATGTATGTTTGTACATTTTTTTAGGTTGCATTGGTACAAAACAGTGTCCATGGTTTTACAAGTTTCAGAAATATTTTTATTAATATTTTTCTACAAAAAACATTAAGAAATGTTTGTTTGAAAATAATAGCATTTGAAAGCACAGTATTTCTGCTACAAATTGATCTACACATTATAATAAAAAGCAATTAGTGTAGTAGTAAAAAAAAACGTTCACTAGACCACCCAAAAACTGCTTATTTTCCTGCAGACAGAAAAGTGTTAAAGAGCACAATGTGGCTATCAAAAAGCTAAAAAGTGCTCATTGTCCAAAGTTGCCTGGGAATGGTCACCTGGCTGCTTACCATTGCATTTCACCTGAGGAGTTCGCTGAAGCCACATGCTCAAAGTAACCGTGATTGCAAAGCCCTCATGATGGCAGAAATCATATTAAACAACATATCTTTTCCGCATGGATGAGCTCTCACCTATACTTTCAAATTTCATTTTTCTCAAGACCTATTTGTGGGCAACTTCTTCAGTTTGGAAATCACGTTCCTGGTACTTTTGACAGCCTGATCTGGATGAAATTTTGCCCACATATTCCTTAACATGTGAAGGGTGCAAGTATTTCCTATAAAACATGGTATTGCTTGTACAGTGAAATCTTGATACATCGAATCTCAAGGGACCGCTAAAAATCATCTGTTATTTCGAAAAGTTATTGTAGTGAAAATCCTAAATGCAAACACGTGAATTGCCTACCTGTGCGACCGCGTTATGCTCTAATAAGCGAGAAAAAACAAACACCAAATATTACGGAAGCAGTGCACGTTTATTTGAACCACCAACCAAAAAAGCTAGGTGACAGCCGTTTAAAAGGCGAAGAGGTAAAGCTGCCCAACAAAAACAGGGGCAACAGAGCAAAGCCTGACCCCAAAACCAAGCACTAGGTGATGACGATGGTGATGGGGCTATCGCACATTTGAATAGGGCAAACAGATAGAGAAATACGCAGACATTCTGATGATGATAATAGTGGCAGGTACAAAGCGGGGCATTATTTTTACAGCTGCGAGTAACTTTTTAAAATCGCTATTCGTTATTTAGAAGTGTTATGGAGCTATAAGGGGGATAAAGTTCAATACGTTATTCTGGAAACATTTGGTATTCTGAAATTCGTAGTAGTGAAATATTTTTACATTAAATCTATGGACAGTTAGGGGGGGGGGGGGATTTAAAAAATTCATTAATATGAGGTTCGCTCTAACAAGGTTGACCGTATAATTATTATGAACCTAAAGTAAGCAATTACAGTCAAACCTCAATATATCGAACACGGATATATCGAATGATTGCCTATATCGAACGGTTTCTATATCACGCGGGAAATCGCATGCTTTATTGATTTTTTATTTCGAACATAGTTTGAGATATAATGGATATATCCAACTCAGCCACCCCAAACCGCCCGGGCTCCATTGACAGGCGGCGAGCTTTCCCGCAACTCTCGAAAGTAGCGGTAGAGCGGCAGGCGTTTACGAATGCTGCACACATCGATGGCGCCGAGAGCGCCACTTTAACGTAGCGGCGTACGCGCGCCGCAGCCTTCCGGTAGAGGTTATTGAATGAGGAAAGCGAAGAGAAAAGCGCGGAGCTGTTATTTTCTTTCAATACGAAGGCACCGACACGGCTTCGTGCGGGGAAGGGGGAGGTAAAGATTGAGGAGGAAAGTATAGAAGGGAAAGGACGCAGACGACTGTCTCGTTTGCGGCCTGCGCTGCCGCCGGGAAAGGGAAAGCAGTCAGGCGAGCCGGCATGTGCACGCTTTACACCCGGACTCACGCCGCAGCCTTGCAGCTTGCAGTCGTTGCAGTCTCTATGGTGTCAACGGCACACTGCGCACTTGTTGCAAGCTCCTCCCCCGTAGCATCGGCAGGCATCGGTCGTTGTGCTTGCAGTGTTCGTGCGTTCGAAGTTAGGCCTGTCGCGCACTGTTCGGAGTTGGGCCTGTAACGCGCTGTGGTGCGCGACAGGCCTAACTCCGAACGGCGGAGCTTACGGATGTGGAGATAGTCGCCAAAGCTACTGCTGAGCAGCCAAATGAAGACTCTGCTGAGGTGGATCCCGCAAGCGCTAATGGTGCCCCGCTCCCGACATCAGCTGAGGTCGTAGCTGCCTTGGCCCTTGTGCGCCGCCACTGCGGTGCGATTGGAGGCACCGGCCTATCACTTATGGGTCGCCTGGACTATATTGAGGACGCAGTCGTCAAACACGCTATGGCCAACAAAAAGCAGGCTACACTTTTTCAATATTTTAAACCAACACAATAAATACTGTGTTTGAATCTTCAAGTGAGTATTTACTGCACCAAGCTTGAACGGTTCGTTGGTCGTTTTCAGCAAGCTGTTGACGCATTTTTTTCGTGATTTTTTTCTATCGAATTCTGGATATATCGAACTATTTCGCGATCGCCGCGCCGTTCGATATATCGAGGTTCGACTGTATAGTATGGGCTGAGAATTCTTAGAATTCTCGCGTTACGATTTTCCTGAGCCATCGGAATGTTTTATACCCACTTTCTTGATAGTTAGTTGCATTCTATAGTTAATGTGGAGCAATATTAGCCATTAATGGCTGAGAACCACAACATTTTAGTGGCATGAAAAGTTTGCCCTAAATGAACTATTCTTACTCATTGTCATGGCACAAAACGAAAGCTGTGCCACTTCCTATAAAACTAGTTACATATTTGGAATCGGCATAAAAGCCTCTATATACAGCGAAAACTTCATTGCCCTGGGCTACAGATTAACGCTTTTTTTTTTTTTTTTCAAACTGCATCTCCCTGGCTGTATGCACTTTGCACCATACCTCAGAGCATTCCCCTTTAACACTGGAATGCATAAAACACACACACACCACAGAAGCGAGGCAAGACAGAAGGGGACGTTTTTCGTCTTGTCTTGCCTGTGTAATCGTCGCACATCTTGTGTATTCCATTGTGCATGTACAGAGTCAATCGCATCTGAAAGGAACTCCTCGTTATTATTTGAAACCTCGTAGAAGCTGATGTTTAGTACATACTTTCAAAAATTATTATGGTAGTTATGGTGGCTAATGTCAGACATCATATAATGGTCCTTTTCTTTTTATTATGCAGAATTAATTTTCTCGTTTTGCCGGCTTGAATACTAACAAGGCGTTCGCCTTAGATGTGGTCGACGCTGTACAAGCTAGAGCAACGCCCCGCCGCAGTGGTCTAGTGGCCAAGGTACTCGGCTGCTGACCCGCAGGTTGTGGGATCGAATCCCGGCTGTGGCGGATGCATTTCCGATGGAGGCAGAAATGTTGTAGGCCCGTGTGCTCAGATTTGGGTGCGCTTTAAAAAACCCCAGGTGGTCGAAATTTCCGGAGTCCTCCACTACGGCGCCTCTCATGATCATATGGTGGTTTTGGGACGTTAAACCCAACATATTTATTATTTATTTATTTACATGTACCTTACAGGCTCCTCGGGGAGCATCACAAAAAGAAACCGAAAAGAATGCGATACATGAGTCTGAAAAGTGCAACAGTAGCGTACTTGCGAGACGGTGAAACAAATTGAATTACGTGGCAAAACAATACTAAGAATAACACCAACTACTAACTAACAGAACAATAATATAAAGACAATACTCGGGAAAAGTAAAAATAAGCCACAAACTATAAGAGTAATACTAAAAAAACAATACTCGGAAAGTAATGAAAAAAAAAATACTCATTTTTGCAAAAAGAGCGGCACGCAAGTCGTGTAAAAAATGTATATCACTTGTGCACTCATAGAAACAAGAAAACAAAGTAAAAAGAAATTCGTAGCACGGAGCTTCGCACAACGAAGTTTCCGTGACGTGATACAGCTAGATGTATAATGTGATGGTTGTGAATACTTTGTTAAGAAGAATACTTTACAACTGTCAATCAAACTAGAGCAATAGCAGGCATTGCACTCTACTAGTACTACTTTCGATGGCCTGCCAGCTAGCTAGCCCAGCAAGCGCCGTGTTTTTCCAGCAGTGGTCACTAACACCTCGATGCCTTTTTCCCCTGGCGAACTGCAGCAGGCGAGAGCACCAGTACGACCGACACTCCTCCGACGAGCGGCAGCAACAACCCAGCCATGTACATGGCGGCACCGCAACGGGGTCGCTATGCCGACCTGGCCTCGATGCGCCGGAAAGCTCGGCTCAAAGAGGTGGGTGTGACTCGTCTCGGACACTGAATGTCAGAATAGCGCAACAGCTCTGTGAATTGAGCCAAATTGATACAATACCCCAATTTTCACACCGAGCTGTGCCAGGATCACTGAAATTTGCCGAAATTGTGCCACGCGGCGTCAAAACGCCCGACCAGCTTTTCTCAGTCGCGTTAATGAGCGAGAAATGAAGGCCACGTTGGCCACCTGTAGTTTATGTCGTTAATTGATCCAGGAATTCAGGCGTGCAGACCCTAAACCACTGTTAGGCCAGGACCTCGCGAAACGCTATTGCTCCGATAAAGTAACAACGCCGTGCGCCCATCGGTCCACTGACCTCGGCGGATGTCTATCGGCGGGTCAACGCAACTTCTAGACGACAATGCGTTGCGTAGCCAGCAACTATTCGCGGGTTAGCAGATGCTGTGACAGCGTGTTAGGAACGTAAAGCTGGAGGTGTATGCTGCTGTTACTGCGGTTTACACTTAGAAACTCAACATGCTGCGAACGCCGGTTTTTCTGGGGACCATGCTGGTTGCCATAGCAAGGCACAGATGGTAGATGTGCGGTACTGTCACCGGGCCAGTGGGCGTGTTCCAATGTTACTTTATTTAGTCAAACGCGCCTTGCAAGTGTGCCGGAAACCTAACCCCTTTGTGAAAATGCATGCGGCACGAGACGCGATCATGCGCAGTGGGGGTGCGGACGGCGCCGACGTCGAAGGGCGACATCATGCGACTGAGAAATGCTCCAGATTTAAATGCTGCTCGACCGTGCAGCATGTGACAGAGTACCCACATGACTGGTCTTGCGGTAGTGGTTTGACTTTTAAACGGGTATTGGCTGCAGGTGACCAAAGCTTGTCGAGAGGAGGAGCTGATGGAAGTGGTCCTGCCGCGTCTTGCAGAGTCTGTCTCTCTTTGGGAATTTTTGCTTACCAAGTGTGAGAAGGGAGACCCGCCTCAGTTGCAGGTAAGCAGAAATGTGGTGCTGCAAGGTTTAATCTACGATGGAGAAGTATTGCCTACGGGCTACTGCGAGCACTTGTGCCAAAGCATTTTTTTTTTTTACATGATTATTTCACTGGCATCTATGAGTGATGTTTCTGGCATGCTTCTTAACTACAATTGATATAACCAGACCTATATGGCCCATAGATATCTTTGGCACTTGTGTAAGGCGGCTGCCTGAAAATGCGACGCTATCTCACTTGCACATGACTTGTGTTCCATTTACTGTCAACTGCCGATTTTTTGAACCCTCTAGGGAGCGAAAAACTGCCCGAAAATTTGGGCTGTCCAAAAAATTGAATGCAGGCAAAAAAAAACGCAGTATTTAACTGATAATATTCAATGCAAGCAAAAAAAAAATGCACCATTTTGCTAATATTTCTCAATGCAAGCAAAAAACGCACCATTTCATTGATATTTCTCGGATCAATAGGGTTAAGGTCGAAGTACCAGACTTCCGGAACTCTGCCGAAGCATCAATGGGGTGGCTCTGAAAAGAGTAGTTAAAAATATGCATGCAGCAGACAGTGGGTGCCGTCGGGGCAGCCGGTGTTAGAGCTGCAGTGGCTTGAAAAACGTGTTGATCCTTGTTGAACGGCGTTCCGCTTGCATGCGATCACATTTGCCTCGATCTGAGCAAGGGTCATGTCATCATTGTATACCGATGTCAGCGGTCGTAGGTGGCGCAGGCGTTGGTTCCTCTTTTTCGACATCGGAGTCGTCTGAATCCGCCATAACCTGACTGACTATTTCGTCGTCGGCTAGCTCTGCGCAGAAGTTGAGCTCGTTGTCAGCGTCGACGAACCGCTCAAAAGTTATTTTCGTGGGCATGGAAGCACCAGCAGAGCGGAGGTCGTTGATAATATCGTCCATAAGAGGGCACAAGTCAGTCACGCTGTCACTTTCTTCAGGCAAGTCTGCTGCCTCTGTGTCGAGTACGAAGCCCGCGCCCTGAAAGTGTTTGCACTACTCAAGTCGTAATACATGCTGTAGGTACGTGATAAAAGTCTGTTCGAAATGTTTTCAAAAATTTATATTGTAGCAAAATATTCACAAACCATGATTCCATCTTCGATATTGTACTGTACTTGACAGTTGTAGCAAGAAACGTAATGTTTCATTCATAACGCTGCCCACGCCTCGTTTTCTCTTTCATGGAGATTCCTGTTACTACTCGCGCGTTTGTCCATTTGGTAAACTTGGGATGGGGAATGTCTACAAGTGTACATCTATTGCAACATTATCGTTACTCTTACTGTATTTACTCGCATAATAGGCGCACTTTTTTTTCAGAAAATCCGGCTCGAAGTTAGGGGTGCGCCAATTACGCGGGGTAAAATTTTCGAAAATTTTTTCAACTCGGTTCTCGCGCTTTAAATCTGCACACTTGTCAAGTAAAAGAGGACTTTATCGTTTACCAATTAATTCAGCATAGAACAAACATACCTACGTACCTTTTAATGAACAAGTGAGAGCCGTCAACTGCACACACACACGTAAAATTTATTTACACAAAAGTCGTAGCTGTTCCTCCTTTTCCCTATTCGGAGTCCGAGTCGGAGATCACACATTCATGCTTGCCGAGCGGGGATTCGTTTTCGGTGTCCGAATCAGCCGCACCCCACAACGTGTCATCCTCACTCGCATCCAGTGCGTTCGAGATACCCGTCTTCTTGAAGCTTTTCCTGACGACTTCGTCGGAGATCGTTTGCCACGCTTCCACGATCCAAGCGCACAGCATTTTCACAGGCGGCCTCTTAATCTTACCACCTGGAGTCAGCTGATGTTGTCCTCCAGCCATCCAGGTGGTGTACAGCCTTCGAACATTGTCCTTGAAAGGTTTATTCAAGGACACGTCCAAAGGCTGCAGTATCGATGTGAGGCCGCCCGGAATCACTGCCAGATCTGTGCGCAGCTCCTTTAGCTCATCTCATACGCGGCCTACTAGGTGCCCACGAAAACTGTCCAGGACAAGCATGGACGGCAACAACAGACCACCCGGCCGCCGACCCCAGACTGTTTTCACCCAATCCACCATGAGTTCCGCGCTCATCCAGCCTTTTTCCTGGACTCTGACGTAGATGCCTTGAGGAAATTTTGCCTTTGGGAGCGTCTTACATTTAAAAATAACGTAAGGCGGTAGCTTACGCCCATCCGCTGTCATCGCCAGCATTACGGTGCATCGTTGTTTATCAGCGCCAGACGTTCTGACGATGACGCTCCATGCACCTTTCTCCTCCACTGTCGTGTTCCACGGCATATCAAAGCAAAGGGGGGTCTGATCAGCGTTGCCGATCTGGGACAAAATGAAGTCTTTCTGCTGTCGGAGCTTTATAACAAAACTGTGGAAGTCCACCACTTTGTCCTCATATGCTGCGGGCAAGGGCTGGCACAAGGTGGTCCGCCTTCGCAGTGCGAGGCCATGGCGCCGCATGAAAACGAGTTGTCCATCCGGAGCTGGCTTTGAACTCTTTGCTTCGATGCCCTGCGCTCAGGCTATTCTGCGCGCCTCAGTCTGCACAATATCCAACGACACAGCACAGCCGTCTTGTCATAGCTCCCGTATATGCCGGACCAGTTGCTCTTCGACGTTCGGATACCTGCCGGTCTTGGCACCACGGAAAGCCCGTCGTGTCTTCTTCGTCGCCTTAAGTTTTTCTTCTTGGTCCCTCCAGTACCGAATGCTGGTTTCTCCAACGCCGAAATGCCTGCTTGCAGCCCGGTTGCCGTGCTCCAGCGCGTACTGCACTGCCTTCAGTTTAAACCCGGCCGTGTAGCTCGCGTAGTTCCCCATGGTGGAACCAAAGTTCAATACACGACCACAACATACGCACACCGCTTGCAAAATGGCGTTTCTTTCTTTTTCTCTGATGGTGGTGATGGCGATCGAGCCCCCGGCGTTGTACACGTGACCTCCAAAAAGCGCGGCGATTTGGGGGGTATCAGTAATTGATGGAACAGCCGTTTTTTTTTTCGCTCATGGACGCTTTTTTTTCTTTTCAAGTTTTATTTCGACAAACACGTTGGTTAGGTCGTTGCACTTCGAATTTTTTTTATTTGCTCGTCGATTTGCCTTCTTTTTTTCTTCAGGGTACGGGGACCGCGTTCCAACTGTACCGCTGGGGGGTAGAATCGTTTCTGATCACGGCCAAGTTCGGGGTGCGCCTATTATGCGCGGAATTAAAAAAAATCGAATTTTCCGCGACCAAACTAGGGGTGCCCCTATTATGCGAGTGCGCCGATTATGCGAGTAAATACGGTAGTTCTGCAGCATTATAGTGTCCGTAATGAGATTGTGTAATAAGAATCAGACACAACTTAGTAAATAACCAATGCATTTGACTCGGGGATCAAATATCGTTGTGCTTCGAGTGTTGTTTTTGTTGCTGGACACAAGTTTGCCCAACTGTGTGTTTAGTCTTTTAACTAACTCTCTGGCTACTCACTTCAGTGTTGCAACAATGTCCAACACGCTTGTAGAAACGGTCGTCTCAGTTGTATTGTCTGGCACTTGTGCCTCGTAACAAGTTTTAACTTGGCATTTTCGCAGATCCCAGAGATGCTGATTCAGCTGGAAGAAAGTGTTGCGTGAGATGCGGGCATTGAGCCAGGAGAGCCTGGTGCCAGTCGAACCCGGTGACGAGGCGGCCCACATGGGAAGCCAACTCATGAAGGTGCGACTCGCTTAATTGTTAACTCGCCTTTTCACTGTGTCACAGAGGTCAAAACCACCTTGCGCACTCGAACCTCATCATAACAAAGTTGCATCTTACGCAAAAATTGGTTCGTAATGCCTTAAATTTGTTATAAATGTTTATTACTAACATTATATGTATTTCAAGATCATTTTTCGCTTGCTTCGTTATTAGCGGTATTTTGTTATATACGGGTCCATTATATCGAGGTTTGAGTGTAGATAACTATTGTAAATTGCTTGAGGTGACATCATGTTCAACTTTCAATACTTCTGGTGCTTTGCATTCCATCCTTCATGCCAAGATAGAGCATGAAAAAGTGAGCACTGACTTGTTGTTTAGCCCGGCTTGAATGTGACCTGTAGGTTGTGTACTCTGGGGCTGGGAGCACCAGAGTACACAGAAATCGACAGCATCCGCATTATGCTGAAGTTGCGCGATGCTCTCTGTCCCTGTGCTGCAAGCTTTAGTACAGTATAGGCCACATATAGCATGAGTCGCCGGAGCCTCAAATATCCGCACTATAATCGGTACTGCATTATAACCAAGACAGCCATCTTCAAAGGCTGCACTTGTGCAAAACATGCTGAGAATGCAGCCTCCCATGTCGGAAAATCGAGGCACGCGACGTAAGGTGTTTACAATCATTCAAATTTCCTAACTACAAAACTGCGCGAAAAAGCGACAAAAAACAACGCAGTTTTGTAGTTATGAATTACCAACTTGCCCAGTGTTCGATACTCTTAAATTTCCTAATGTTCAAAAATTAATGTTTTGAAACCCGCATCGCCAATGAAATAAATGCAGGAAAAAAAAAGAGAACTAGCAAAAGAATGCGCCATTGCAGAAATCTGTTGACCACGTTTTAGACCACCTCGATTATGCGCATTACGCAAACTATGTCAAATTGCAACGGAAATATTGCATGCAGTCTGAATGGTATCGATTTTGCTGGCGTGTGTTGAGTGTCTAAAACATCGCAATGGAATCGCAAACTACTATTCAAGTATTGTATGAGCCACCCATGCCCCTGTTTTCGTTAACGATACGAGTTCCCTCTCCTTGCTTCTGCAGCTACCGCAGAGGGTTTCATTGATTTCACACCAAACTGCAACTCTGATCAGCCACAAAGGCTGTTGAAAAGCAACCACCGCTGATTAGGCCTAGCCTGCGGTTCAGCATAGACAATGTGAATATTGGGCATCAAAAAGGTTGCACACAAGCACTGACTCAAGATCAGCGCGTGTGATAAGAAGTTTGGGTTGGCAGCCGGGTGATAACGGCGACAAAACTTTATGTGCTTCGGCCTTCGATTAGTGCGGTTTGGCGTAGCGCGACCATGCGTGAACACATTGCACTGTTCTTCGGCCAATCGTTCGGAAGGGCAACGTAAGGCAAGCGCTTGCCGCTGGCTCAAGGCACTGTTACCAAACTTCATCCGAGTGAGCTCAAACAAAGGAGCCGACGGACAGGAAAGAAAAGCGCGTGCTTACCCTACGCTGTCCAGAGAGAGAGTGTCTTCCCGTTGCGCGTGAAACGTCTTGTAACCCTCACATGCGGTGCCTACGTTGAGATCTGGTGTTAAGTGGGGTAGGCTAACTTAGCCCCGCTCAACCATCACTACGATCGCCAAGGAGAGGAGAGACACGATTGGGCTAGTGAATAGCAGAATAGGTGAAAATCTGCGCAATGACGATGGACAAGCTTCAATCCCCACAAGTTGTATACGTATACATGGGGTCCTATGGGACAGGAAACGGGAATAAAAAAAAGACCGCATTGTAACTGGTCCTGTACTACAAGTAGCTATGTTATATCTGGTCTGCACTGTGTAGGCGTAAAATGCTTTGACAAAACAGGTCAATCTTCCACAACTGGGTGTTGAACCTAGACATGTATTATCTCTCGTGGCTGGTTTACGTCTTTTGTTATTTCTTATATGTTTTTGCATTAGGCATTTGTGGGGTCTCGAAGTGGAGAGCGAGCGCCTTACTCTTGGATTAAAATGGACTCAGCAGACTTGGTTGGAACACACCAAACAACACATATTTATTTAACTACTTTTGAATGACGATATCGTCACCCGAATTGTTATACATCAATTGTAATTAACACGCTAAGACATCCTTACACAATATTAAACAACACTCAACAACAAGACAACAAGGCGGTGTCCCTAACGCCTGACTCGCTACGTGGGCCTGCCGCAGGCAGCCCGAGGTGCCGTCCACGGCAGACCCACCGCGAAAGACAACCGTTCGCGCCAAACACCACCAGCCAAAGAGAGACTCGCTCAACTCTCTCGGCCCCGCTGCAGTGGTCTAGTGACTAGGCTGCTGACTTTTAGGTCGCGGGATCAAATCCCAGCTGCGGCGGCTGCATTTCCGATAGAGGCGGAAATGTTGTAGGCCCATGTGCTTAGATTTGGGTGCACGTTAAAGAACCCCCGATGGTCGAAATTTCTGCAGTCCTCCACTACGGCGTCTCTCATAATCATACGTTAAACCCCACATATCTATCTATCAATCAACTTTCTCGCCCGCCACCAAGGTTTGCCTTCCTCCAGGTGTCACTGCCGGCTCTACCGCTCTACCAATCATGATGATGATGATAGTGTGGATCACCGCTCGCGGGCATGCCACCTATTGCTCAATAGTTGTCTCTCCCGAAAATTCTATTTGTATGGGTCATGCATTGCTTGGATAATGCGTTTTTTTTCTGCTCCGTCTTCCCTTCCAAAATGTATATCATGTCGTTATTGAAGGATGAACTTGTCGGCTTGTTGGCTGAACATGTTGCAAGAACAACTTGAAAAAGCAAGGACAGAAAACGTTGCTTGTGTGCCTTACGGGAAGCGTTACATGAACGTTAGAACGGGAAGCGTTACATGTCTTCGTTATTTTGGCTCGTGTAGATTGAAGACGAGAGCGTGGCCCAAGCAATAGGCATCACAACCGGCCTGTACGCCATTCATGAAGAGGAGGCCGTCGCGAAGGTGGTGCCTGTAGCTCGCAAACGGCCGCGTGTCGAGTCGGAAAGCAGCCAGAGCCAGCCCGTTACCAAAATGGAGGCCTCCAGCGAGGCCACCAGCACAGGAGCCAGTGGCGTGGAGTTTGTCACGCCAGAGGAGATGGTGGCTGCGCTGCATGGGGAGCCACTGCCGCCCAACAAGCGGATACGACTGGACGATGAGGACGCGTTTGTTGTGCTCACGTGAGTAGCTCGGGCCTGCCTACAAATTTTCGCAAATTTGTTTTAGGGGCGAAGCTCCTTAGGGCGTGGGCTGTGCGTCCCCTGTAGCCTGTATGTAGCCACCTCTAGTTTAGTTCTTGCAGTGTTCACTAGATGGTACCGTCCCCTGTATGTAGCCACCTCTAGTTTAGTTCTTGCAGTGTTCACTAGATGGCGGTACCGTCTCCTGTATGTAGCCACCTCTCGTTTAGTTCTTGTAGTGTTTACTAGATGGTGGTACTTGTAGCTGATGATGAAAAGATGCAAGATGTTATAAACTAGAAAGCGGTACTTGTAGTTGATGAAAGACGCGAGATCTTATAAAATAGGAATGATGTCACATATGGCGTGTGTCATTGGTTGAAGGCAATCGTTCGATTTAGTGCGGCGACGTACGCTAGGGGGAGCGATGTAATAAAGTCGAGTGGCCAAAATGTACAGAGGATTCATGGTTTACCAGGTTTACCTCCGGAGCTTCGCCCACTCATCATCATTCACTTCGTGGATATGGCGGAATTTTTTTAATGTTTATAAATGTGAGCTTATTCAAATACTTTTAAAATGCTGCACGAAGTTTTAGGGAAAATGGGCTTGGCTTGTGAGATTTTCTTGTACAATTAAACATCATTGTAACAAAGTCGTATATGATGCAAAAATAGCTTTGGTGTATTTAAAAGCTTTATTAATGTGTATTTATAACACGGTATTTATGACATTTTCTTCATTATGATCAATAATGATGTAAATATATTTAATTTTTATTTGTGTTTGTTACATTGAAGTATTTATGTGTTCGATGATTGGAAGGCTCAAGGCTGTGAAACAGTGCATGTAGAGAGGAAAGTTCGATAGTATCTTTGCTCAGTCAACGAACCATAGTTTACTTTTCAGCTTTAAAGTATATGTACTATTATGTATAACTTAACCATAACAAATGTCATCAATTTTGACTGGGCTTTGAAGTACTGTGCTACAAATTAACCCCTTTAGACTCAAATTATTTCTGTTCAGAGTAAGCAAGCAGTAGTCACAATTTGTGAAGTGCAACTAGTGATGTCACGCAGTTATTATGGGCGTTGACGTCAAGTGAAAGCAATTTTGTACAGTGAAAACAGCTGCGTCGCCCTTTTATGCGTCCGCAAGCCCGTGAGTGCGACAAAGGCAGGGGATCAGCTCAATGTTGACCAGGAAAAGTTTCCACGGACTGAAAACGTGAAAATATCAGCTTTTTGGCCGGCTGAAGTTGCTCTGTGTGGATAGAGCTTGACTAGCTCTTTCAGTCACGGTGTACACAAATGGAGACGGCAACTTCAATGGCACGTCACGCTCCGCATGTTTCATCAAATGGCCTGAAACTTAGCGTGCACTCTCGTGCAGGCCTCCTTAGTGGACAGTGAGTGATTATTTAACTTCGTTACGTTGCACATTGCTACAGAGGATCACTTTGCTGGATGCAATACCTAGTTCAACGATTTTTCGACGTGATGCATTCCAAGACCAACGTAAAAAAAATGGTTTTGTTCTTTGCTCAAAACAAATGTCACCAAAAATAAACTGTGCATCCATTTCGGGCCTAGTAGAGGATTCTTTTTACGCAAGTACTGAAACTGACTGGTGGCAGAATAATTAAATATTTAGTCACACACTCACTAACTTTAAGGGGAGATGCGGGTTGAAGACACTTTTTTTTTAATATTCATTCGAGAGCAATGAAACTTGAGGTGCTTATAGAACTTTTTATGCTGATTTCGAATATATAATGAGTTGTCTTGCAAGTTGCGTACTTTTAGTTTTGCAACATGACAAAGTGAAAAACTTAAGCCCTTTGCCCCCCCTCTTTTCATACCTAAACTTCATTAATTTTTTACAATTGATAGTTCATAATGTTTCAAATGAAGTGTGGAATGCAAACAACTAATTTGGAAGTCCATACAAAATATGTACTAGACGTGAAAAATTTTAACGTGGGAAGTTCATATTTCTCCTACCCTAGTAAAAGTTTACATAACTTTTTTTTTATTATATAAAAAGAATACTGAAACTTAAACAAGATAATTGCATTTCTCGTACTTTGGAAAAAATTTGGGAAAAATTTCATGCAGATCTGAGCACCAGAAGTACCCGAAAAAGTAGGGGCACATTGACAAAAATGGCAAAATTTGTGTTTTGAGAAAAAGAAGTTTTAAAGTCAAAATTGCATGTTTATTTATCAAAGATGTCATTGAATGCGACGAAATTTGTACACAAGAAAGAAAAATCTTCCTTGTAGTGGCCACTGCCATTAAAATGCGCCAGCACCATAGGTTTGGCCCTCACGGCTCTTTCACGTTGACAGCGTAGCTATCGCGCGAGCTCCCGCTGTCGTATGTTCTCGCGGTCAGTCCGTCACTCGCCACGCTCACGCTGGCCTCCCCACCTGAAGCTACTCGCCGCGAAGTATATGTCGCCGAAAGAATAGTCTTGGGGCACTCACTGTTTGGGCAGTGGAGTTCGACGAACGACGCAAGTCCTTTCCGCTTGTCGGCCGGTTCCCGGACACGTAATCCCAAATGGCGACACGTCGGACACATTGCACCGCGCACAAGCATGTTCAGTGCTGTCACATCAGCAATCAACGAAGACTCGTCGTCCTGTGATTTTTCTTCGTCTTCGAAGAGTCCGATCTTTTTCTGGGAGGCACTCACATATTCGAATGCCGCGGCAAACTCGTTGGGCGCATCGGCGTCATTGCCACTACGTTTTGCGGCAGCAGACGATCTTTTCGTGGTTTGAGTGTTCGGCTTTGATTTGCGCCGGCGTCCTCGAAATTTGTGCGCCGCGTGAAACTTCACAGGCCGGTAACCGCGCTTCCTACGGCTTTCTTCATCCATAACGAATAAGCACTCGAGAAAAGCGTTGTTCAGTTGTGCTGCTCGACGAAACACGGATCCTGCAAGTAGGCTTCACAGCACACACACACGCGCGCAGCGGCCAATGGCGGCTCCCGATCCGTACCACGTGATTTAAAAGCCAGTCGCGGCGCTCGAAAAAGGCGGCAAAAGCGCGCTTCTTTTATTATTTCTTGCGTTACAGCAGCGCGGGAAACCGTCGCTATTTGAAGAGTAAGGCTCGGTTCTTCGCCTCATGCGGTCGACAATGGCGAGCAGCGGCGCATTATCAGCGGCAAGGTGCTCGAAGATGACAACTTTCGGCCTTTTGACAGCCACCTTGTGCTCTTCAGACGCAATTTTAAAGCATTTCCAGTTGATTCTCGACATAGATTTTTTTTTTTTTTTCAGAATAGTAGAGGTACTAATCTTAACAAAACAGGTGAAAACAAAAAATCGATAATTTTTTAGAAAATTCTCGTTTTTCGACTTGCATCTCCCCTTAATTACCATAAGTCACAGGGAAGAACGTTTAACTTTATTTTCTTACTTGGAATGTAATAAGCAGTGCGCGTTTCCGACAGTGCATCATAATGCATGACTGAAAAAGCTAGGTAATGACCCTGGATACGTACGCATGTGATCAAGATGTATGTAGAAGCGCATGAGCTTCAAGGGGAATAAATTTTTCATTCTAAGAAGACGTTCTGTCTTCCTACTTTTCTAATCGTCAACCTATGGGAACGCAAATTCATATTTTGCACTCATGAATATTTTGACGTTTGATTCGAGTAAAGGTAGTTTTTTTTTTTATTTCGGATGGAATCTGAGAGTTGTCGTCAAATGCGGGGTCGGCATAAAACTGTGTCGTATAACCAAGGTTTTTAAGGGGGGATGCTACACCTTCCAAAAACTCTCTTATTTTTGCGAGTACCTCAGTCAAATTTGGAGAGCCTATGTAGATTTTACTGCTGATTTCAAAAATCTAATTCCTTTTTTGCTGTGACAATTAGTTTTAAAGATATAATGAACTGCGACTTTTTCAATGAAGGCCTAATTAGCTAATTAACTGTAACATGGATATTGATGTGCAACCTATAGAACCAATTTGGTATGTTCACAGTGTGCAATAAAGTATAAATCATTGTTCTGGGCTATTTCGAAGCAAAGTTGTGGGATGTTGAATATGACATGAAAAATTTCCCCATCTACACTTGAAACAAAAGATCCATTTAGAGAATTTTCTCCAAAAATTATTACAATAAAACTTACTTTACGACACATCCCCTGCATTTATCTTCGAAACAAAAAAGAAATCGTAATGATAACCCAGATAGAACAAGAGATATTGCTCTGGCATAATGGGAAGCACATGAAAATTGTCGTTTTGAGAAATCGAGAAAAAACGTGGGCACACATTTTTATTGCAGAAGATGCAACAAGACAACCTCAAAACGCACCAGAAGCATAGTCTGAATGCATTCTGTGCTCATGCCTCCTCTTCACTAGCTTGCGGAGTTCCAATGAGGCTGTTCTTTTCTTGTTGGAGACAATGCTGCGACGGTGGTCTTTTTCTCTCGCTCTCCTAGCACCAGTACTTGTCGCATTCATGTCCATTTCACCTAAGATTGCCGTTGCAGAATTCAAATTGCCCGTGTTGAAGCGCAGCACTGCTTCTGCAACAGCTGCTTCAACAGCGAACAGGGACGCATGGTGCTCCTTGGGGGCCAAACTCCAGATTACCGAATGTAGGCTCTCGTTGGAGTTCTGCGTTTTGCCGCGTTCGCACCTCTGAAGCAGGGCTCTTTCCGAAAGCCGGGTATAAACCGGTAGTAATGCCTCTGCCACGTCTTTCGGTAGATTGTAGGCATGCCTGGGGTCGGGCTCACCCTTTGCTTTTGCGGCATTGTGCCGACACCATGAAGTTTCACCAGCTGGGCACAGACTGTGGTCCGAGCATTCATCAGTTGAGGTGACGTGGCGGTATGTGGCCATCACAGCCTTTTGCATCTCGCCCACGTCACCTTCATGCGATTTCAGAGCCCGGCCATAATATGTGCTCAGCCTGGTGATCAGCTCACCTGTGAGCCTGCCTTTCACACCAAGGCCTCTTTTCCCATCGCACTTTTGTTTCTGCACCAGGTTTCTCAATGCGGTGCCCATCCGTTTCTGTACATAATTAATACAGTCTTCCTTCTGCACGTCAATGTAACCATACACCTTGGCGTCTTGTATGGCGCAAAATGTCCTAGAGTCTCCATCAGACAGCATAGTTGTGTAGCGCAGGCCATGGCGTTCAAGCGACCTCTGAAATAGAATTAGAGCCGCCTCCACTTCCATTTGCCCCGCTTTGCTGTTCGTATTTTTTTGGCATTTGTGGTTAGCCTTCCATTCTTGATAGCCCTCACTACTAGGCTTTGGGCCCAACTCGCAGCCTAGGCAAAAGTTGGAAAGAACGACGTAGTCCAACACGTAGCCACTAAATAATTCGATAACTGTGCCCACGCCGATGTGGGAAGAATGGCCTCGCGTCTTCCACGTGCCGTCGTAGCTAACGGCAATATTGCCCCGGTGGCCGAAGCACAAGTCATCATAAATTGTTCTAACCTTTTCCGCACATTCGCTCATAGCGGACTCAGCCGCTCGCGTTGCAGCGGGTGCCAGCGTGTTCTTCAAATGCCGCTGAAACGTCTTGTGGTGCATACCGCGGTGTGAGATGCCCATTGTTGCGAAAATATCGTTCATTTTCGTTTGGCCGTTGCCGGTAGCCACCATCGCCCTCAGAAGCGAGAAGATTTACTTCAAACGGATTGCACGTTTTCGTGCCGTTCGCGCGGGGCGAAGTCCATTCATTCGCGATCTCGCCGCACCTTTCACACTGCACTAGCACTTTCACGGCAAGTCCGTAGTCCCGATCCCCTCTGACGATCGTAGCCGGTCCGTGGCAGGCTTTGCAACACAAGGCACCCATTATCGCGTTTAGGATATCTAGATGCATAAGCAGATAAGGAGCAGCGTGGTCCGAGTCCTGTGCGGTTGCCTCGCTACAACTCGCGGTGAAAAGTCAATTTTCCGTGCAGTTGCTGGCGCCGATGAAAGCCGGTCGAGCGTCGCTTTCTCCCGGGCATGATTTTCTTCAACTTCGGCGTTTGTCACCACCTTGGCGTCGATTCGTAGTCGTCCGGAGTTCGCTTCACACCGTCATCGTCGTCGGAGGCAACGCGCTCGGGTCGCACCATCGCTGAACGGCCGCGGAGCGTCGACACATCGTTCGTCGGAGTCAACCAAGGACTCTGATGACTTCGTAGACTTTCTCCCACGACCTTTGCGTTTCCTGCGACCAAATGCGTGCGCGGTCCGATACTTTTTTGCGTTTCCAGGCATGGCGATACGATCAGAAGCTTCAGAGTGCTCTGCCGATTTCGAGGCGTCACAGCGGTAACCCTTTCAAAATGGCGTCGGGTCGCGTATGCAGGCGCAAGCCGCGAGCTTCCAGCCAACCGAAAGCGCCATTTCAGTCACGTGCGCCGTTTAGCCAATGGCAGTGTGCGCGGCTCTTCGTCTTTGAGGCCCCGTTTTTCGAGCCGGGGAAACGCTCAATGTTGCTTACTGAATAAAAAAACAGCTGAAAACGCGTTCTTTCAAACAAGACCAAAATGGCGCCGATCGAGCGCGTAGTTCCCGCGTATCGTAGAGCCGAAACCTGCGCTATTCGCCCTCAATTTAAAGGGCAGGACGCCCGTTTTTCGGTTTTTTAAAGTTGAATAACGATAAAAGTTGATGGTATTCGGCTATGAAATTTTGTAAATAGGTGCGCAATGATGTCGGGAACGCGAAAAGAAGGTCCGCGAAAACTCGATTTTTTGGCTGATTTTCGGTCCCGAAGTGCCGCGTCCCCCCTTGATACATTACTTGTATGGGGATTTTGTCGGCACCAAACCAATTTGTCGTAAAATGCTAAACCAGGGGATGTACACTCAAACCTCGTTATAACGAAGTTGAAAAAGAGCCACAATTATTTTGTTATACCCATTATATTTGTTATATCGATTATAACAGTTTGTGGCAATGTATGCTCAGATGAGCGCACACCTATAAGCATGCAAAGAAGGAAACCGCCTCGCGGCCCGATGTACCGCTACGTGACCACGCGTGCAACGGAAAATAAACACAGTTGAACCTTAATAATTCGAACACCCCTTAATTCGAATTTTGGGTAATTCAAACTCACGCTGAGGTTCCCTCAAAGCTATGTGTATTCCAATGGGCGAAAGCGCCCCGTAATTCGAATGCTCGAGCACTTGCGATGGTTACTTCGAACATACCGCGCTCCGAAAATGCTCTCAGCACCATGCCCAATCCCACGTTGGCACCTCTCGACGCTGCGCGCGAAGAAGAAAGGGAAAGAAAAGACAGTGGCGGATTGTTTGCTATCTCTCTCTCTCTCTCTCAAATGCCGATCTGCGACGTGCCTGTTCCACGCCTCTCCCTTTTCTGTCTCTGCTTGTAGAGACCCTTCTTCTTTCAAGGCCACGTGGGGAGAGAGAAAAAAAAAGAAAAGCTCTCGCGGAGAGTCCTTCTTTCTCGGTGCAGAGGGTAGCAGCAGAGACGCCGTCGCGGGAGGAAAATCGCTTTGCACCGCGGTGCCGCTTCTCGGTCATGTAGCCCGCATAGCGCTTTCTAAATCCCCTCCGCGGGCTGTGTGAGGAGGACGGCTCTCTCAGCCGCGCATGGCGTGGCTGCAAGGTCGGCGTGGTACTTTTAAAAGAGCCGCGCCGAACGAGCGTCAAACTCCTCAGAAAACTATATACCTAACACACTACGATCGGTTCTTTCTTTTTTTTTTTTGATAGACTATTTGATAGACTAAACTAGTCAGTTATATTCATTTACTGGTCAATTTTACTTCGTTAGAATGAGGTTTAAAATGCATGGTTCTCAATGGAGCTTTCAGGGGGAACTTAATTTACTTTGTTATATTCATTATTTTGTTATATCTCGTTACATTATAACGAGGTTTGAGTGTATAATCAAAGTTTCACCGTACATCGTTTTCCCTCCTCGGATAATTTTGCCTCAATCCTTTATTCAACCGCACTCTCTAAATTTTCGTGACATGAGGCACTTTGCCAATGTTTCAGGTAAGCAACTTTCCAACAGAGATCCACATTTGCATGTCTGGGTTCCAAGTTGGAGACTTGAATTTTCTGCTAAGTTTTTTCAAGGATTCTGGCATCACTGCTCAGCCTGACATAGGCCCAAACAACGAAACGTTCCTTTCCTTTGACCGCGCCCTCTCCTTACGTGAGGCTTCCTTACAACCAAGTACCGACGGAGGAAGCAAGCGTACTCTGAAAGCTCCCTTAACCCGTCCTCGCGGGAGGAATGGTTGCCGCGCTCCTGCGTTCGAGATTATCTAATATAAGCTTTGCTCACAAGCGTTTATTCTATAAAGAAAAGTTGGGTCACCACATCACTTCCAAATTGAAGTGTTAATATAGAGACGCGTGTACGCTTTCTTCAAACTACGATTACTGAATGTGAAAAGCCACCGTAGTTGAGCGCAAAACTTGGTGCATTCTAGCAACACTGAAACACCTGCCTCTTTAAACGCTCTTATGGTGCCTGGCACCGTGCACGCACGCTCGTCGCTCGCGTCTCCCCTCATGGGTGGGGTGGGAGGGTCGCCTCGAAAACGAAAACATCACGTGGGTTAGCTGTGAGGCGAAGCGCTCGTTCAGGGCAAGGAGCGGACCTAACAGCGCACAAAGGTAGCCCCAAAGCAACCTTAAGCTGAGGAAGCGCCAAGGAAGCCTTCACCGAGGGCTCCTTAGTGAGGAAGCTTTCAGAGTGACATAAGGCGGCCTCACAAAAATGAAGGCTTCCTTACTGAGGAAAGGAACGTTTTGTTGTTTGGCCCATAATGTTTTTAATAGTAACAATCAACATTTAGCTCTTGATGCGCATAGTATTTATATTATCTGAGAACACATGCTTGTGGTTCATGCGAAAACCATTTAGCATGGCCGTCTTTCACTGGGGAAAGGTGGGCACATTGTGGGTGAAGCTTACATGTGTTCTTGGGTGGTAACTGACTGCAATATTCTATGTAGGGGCACCGGTGTGGACAGCGAGGCGGCGAAGGTAGACGGCATCATCGAGGCCACGCTGAACAGTGACAGCCTGTCAGAAAACATGCTAGAAAACCTCGAGTTTGCGAACCTGCCCGTGACGGACGATGCCGTGACCAACGGCAACGACGAGGACGCCCAGTCTGCAACCCCAGTGCCAGTCACAGCGGTCACCGCCACGGCCGCAGCGGCACCCGCAACGACTGCGGTCACGGCAACGTTGAGCGGCCACCAGGAGACCTTTCAGTTCATCCAGCAGGCTGGCAAGTCACAGCTGCACAAGGTAAACCTTTTTGGGGCCATGTATCGTTCTTAGGCACAGTCAACTGCCGATTTTTTGGGCATGCTTGAAAATTCGTACGCTTTCGCAGTGCCGTCACAAGCGCCTTAGACGTCAATGTACAGTAGACGTTCGATTTCTTAGACACCCGAAATTTCCCGACATGCCTGATTTCTCGGACTCACCTGCGGCACCGTCAAGTTCCCGTAGAGTCAATGTATTAGAAAGTCAGAAATTCTGGACGTTTATAGCTTTTGCCATCCATTTTCCGGACTTTTTACTGCTTACTCGAAGCCACTCAGGACGCTGCAATTTTGGTTATCGTACCTACGAATTCATTGCGCCGCAGCTGCCGTACCTTCGAAAGCCGCAAACGCCTCAATCCAGTGCACACCAATCCATAGATTAGTCAAACCTGTGACCACAGCCGCACAGGGCTCGCAGCTGTGCAGCCTGTGCTCCGACAGCGGGAAAAGCTACACTGTTTACCTATGGTCTGCCGTCGGCATGCTAGCAGACTCTTAGAAGGCTGTTCCGCAACAGACCCTCAGGAACTACTTTCGCCACGCGAGCTTCGTACTGGACGCTGAGATTGCCGTTTCGACCGGGGTGGACAGTGCGTGCGATGAACTTCCACCCGCGGACGATCTGCACGCTGCCGGTGTTTCATTCCAGCCGGGATAACCTATGAGAGCTTTGCCGACGCTGAGCTGTGTGCGGAATGGACCGATGACGAAATTATTCGCCATGTTACGGAAAATTCCTACCACTCTGACACTGAGATCGCAAAGGCAGTGCCTACGCAGCCAGCGGGCTCGGAGTTGACGCGGGCACTGACACAGTCATTGGTGTACAGCGACAGCATGGCATCGGCTCAATTTAAGGCAGACATCATTGCGGGCATGTGGAACGTCGGGCAAGGGAAAATAAGTGACTTTCTTTTTCCCCACCTAAGTGCTTACAAATATAGTAGCGCCGGCCACATCTAATTTTTCTTTTTCTTCTTTCTTTCTTTTTTTTTTATATATAGACGGCTTGAGCACCTAAACAATACACTCGCTGAATTGCAATGAAAATCCTGTGCTCCTGTCATGACCTTCTCTGTGAGCAAAAATGCCTAATAAAGAAGTGTGTTTGCATTCGTTTTTTAAGACTGCCGGATTATCCGGGCGTTTTCGCGGTCCCTTGAGGGTTCGGGAAATCGGCTGTCGACTGTGTAAGAATGTCTGAAATTTCTGACACAGGAACTCTTTGCTGCAGTGATTTTTCAGAGTTATTGCCGAAATTTTCGGTCAGAAACAGCATTAATTAAGTAAAGCCCCAGCCTCTCTTGCATTTATCGTCTCATAGGTTTGAACCAGCGATTTCGCGAGTCTATCTGTTTGCGGCCGTAGCTGTGTCTGAAAGTTGGCTTTGCCTCAAGCTTAAGTTGTTGGGTGAAGCAGATAAAAAGTACGAAGGGTTTTCTTTATCTAGGTGCAGTGCAACGCTGTCTTCACAAATTAGCACGAGGAATGCATGGAGGCATGATGGCAGCAGATGGCAATGTCGCCAGTACGACTTAATTCCTAATGATTCTTTATGATAATGCATCTTCAGCTAGTTGCCCCATGCGAGAAAATCGTTACTTAATTTGCGCTTTGCTGGCATCACAGGCACTCATCACAATTTAAGCAAAGTTCGCGTCTCGTACCGAAGGTGTTATCAAGAGCTTCGGTGCTCACCGAAATGCCTGGTGTGTGTAGTGGGTGCCATTGAAGCCATTTCAGACCCAAGTGGTGATTTGACCACTTGGGCGGAATCAAAAAGTATGAAGTCGTGTTTTTTTTTTTTTTTGTCTGCACAATATTTCGAACTACTATTTCATGGTTTCCAAGGCGTCTGAAAAATCTGCCGTTGACTGGGGTAAACTGTCACATAAGCATGATAAAGAGAGCGGAAGCACGGATGCTGGGCAGACGAAGATCACATGTGTGCTTTGCCTCTATGAAATGAACCTTATCAAACTAGCTCAGTGTAAACTAATTAATTAGAGCACGCTTCATGAACAGGTGTTAAATATCATCAAGTCACAGGCAGCCTTGTTTTCTGCTTCCTTCCACTCTGACTAGCATTAATTTTCACACCGTCAACAAGCAGTCTGCTCTACATGACAAAACTAAGAAAGCTTTTGTTTGAGGACTTTCGCTTAAAAAAAACATTCAGAACTTATCCGTTTTATGGCTGAGATATTCATTCGTCTCGCAGTATATAGGGTAAAAAATAAACATGATCTCTTTGCATGCCGTTTGTCACTACACTCAAACCTCGTTATAGCATAATGGGATATAACAAAATAATGGATAAAATGAAGTAAATGAAATTTTCTTTCGAAAGCTCCATTGAGAACCAGGCAATTTAAACCTCGTTGTGATGAAATAAAATTGACCAGTAAATGGATATAACAAACTTAATTAGTCTATCAAGTAGTCTATACAGAAAAAAACGCGTAGTGTATTACCGTAGTTACTCGAATCTAACGCGCACATTTTTTCCGGTTAAGCGATTTCATGAATCGCATGTGCGTTAGAATAGAGTACGAAAAAAAAAATGAATACGGTCATTTTATTGCCATCGGCATTTCTAAAATGAACACCCCCTACGTGCGTCGGCCATTTCTGCCTATGTGTTTCCTATGTGCGGCACTTCGTACGTGTGCTAAGGAGTTCGTCATCTTGTAGTGCATTAGCATCGACGGCATGGAAGGGCTGACTCCAAAAACTCAAGTGCACCTTGATGCCGCTTTTAAAAAAAAAGTCATCTCGTGTGCCGAAACGGACGAAAATCGGGCCACATCGTGGTTGTTCAGAGTTCCCGAAACGTGCGTGCGGGACTGGCGGAAACAAAAGCAGAAGATTGTCGACAGAAAAGATTCACGCAAAGGCTTCAGTGGACCACAGCAGGGTCGGTTTCCGCAAATTGAAGAGCTGCTTGGCGAGTATATGATTTAGCAGTGAGCGGCACAGCGGCCCGTGACGACAGAACTGCTCCAAAGGCAGGCTATGCAGTTAGCCTTAGAAAAAGGGCTAATGCGGAGCCAGTTTAAAGTGAGCACTTGCTGGCTAACTAACTTTATGAAGAGGAAAGGCTTTTCCCTCCGAAGGCAAATGGGCATATGCCAAAAGTTTCCGGAGGAGTACGATGAAAAGCTTCACAGTTTTCAGAGGTTCGTCCTAAACTTGCGGCACAACATCGGCTACCTGCTTGGGCAAATCGGGTATGCCCATCATGGCGCCTCTTTACCTCGACATGCCTGGCACCACAACCGTCGAGAAGGGGGCAAAGCAAGTTCCCGTGCTCATATCGGGCCACGGTAAAACTAGAGTGACTGCAATGCTCCGTTGAACGTCAGATAGATACAACCTTCCCCCGTATCTCATATTTAAACGGAAGACGCTCCCGAAAGGCGTCGTTTCCCGAGTGGTGTGATCGTGCGGGCCAACGAGAAAAATGGGTGCGCATTGCAACCGATGGCTTACTTTTTTTTTCGTTGTGAAAACCGGGTGTGCGTTACAATCGAGGGCACCGTAGAATCGAGTAAATACGGTAAGTATATCGTTTACTGCGGAGTTTGACGCTCGTTTGGCACGGCTCTTTCAAACTACCACGCCAACCTTACAGCCACGCCATGCGCGGCCGAGAGAGTCGTCCTCCTCACACAGCCAGCGGAGAGGATTGAGGAAGCGCTCAGCGAGTCACATGACCGAGAAGTGGCACGGGGGGCAACGCGATTTCCCTCTTTGCGCCTTACGGCAACGACTGCGTTTTTGCTGCTATCCTCGGCACCGAGAAAGGAGGCCTCTCCGCGACAGCTTTTTTTTTCCTCCCTCTTCGCGTCCGGCCTTGAAAGGAGAAGGGTTTCTACGCGCAGAGACGGAAAAGGAAGAAGCGTGGCACAGGCGCGTCGCAGATCAGCATTTGAGAGAGAGCAAACAATCTGCCACAGTCTTTCCTTTCCTTTTCTTCTTTTCCTTCTTTGCGCGCTGCATTGAGAGGTGCCGCCGCGGGATTGGGCATGGTGCTGAGAGCATTTTCGAAGCGTGGTATGTTCGAATTAATTGTTGCAAGTGCTTGCGCGTTTGAATTATAGGGCGCTTTCGCCCATCGGAATACACATAGCTTTGACGGTACCTCAGCGCAAGTTTGAATTAACCGGAAGTTCGAATTAAGCGTGTTCGAATCAACAAGGTTCGACTTTGTTAATTTTCGTCGCACGCATAGCTGCGTAGCGGTACATTGGGTCGCGAGGCGGTTTCCTTCATTGCATGCTTATAGGTGTGCGCCCATCCGAGCATACATTGCCAGAAACTGTAATAATCTATATAACGAAATAATGGATATAACAAAATAATTGTGGCTCCCCTTCAACTTCGTTATAACGAGGTTTGAGTGTAGTGCTTCCAGGTCGCAAACATTTTCGTGTATATCATCATCATGTTGCATTCTTGATTGAAAGCAATCAGCGCTGAGTTTTCAGGATAAAAAATGCAATCAAGCTAGGTGATTATATATTTTTGCGGCTCGGAAAGGCGTGTAGGAGGGCGTGATTGTTTTTAGAGTACTCGTTACCAGCCATTTTCGTATGGAGCCTTTGATGAGTGTTGTCGAAGCAAACGTATCTTTTGAGAATGAAATGGTTTTGTACTGATTGTTTCTAGGAAAAGAAGGCATGCGAACCTGAAGTAAGTATTGTTGGCTCAAGTGGCCACTGTATTATCAACCATAGAAACAATAGCGGGAGCAAGGGCAACGTCTCGAGCCACAAATACATCAACAATAGAAAACGTACATCAACAATCACCGTCGGGCACATTGTGTGGAGATGACAAGACGATGCAGTTAGCAGCTTGTAGTGGCTAGTAGGTGTGACGGCCAGGGCGTAGGCGTGGAGGTAGGTCGGCCGGAAAATAGCAAGCTGCGGCAACTCAAGCTGAAAAGCACCTGTTGCACAATCGGTCAGTGCAGACTGACTTGAGTGAAAGTCTAAGCCAAGGATTAGGTCGTGGGGAGGGACACTGCTCAATGACGATAACTTGAACTGAGGTAGAATGACGGGCTATACAAGTACGGGCAGTACACATACCCTAAGGGCCGGAGTTTCTCCATCAGCGAGTTTGCATTGTCAGCATATCTGTTCAGTGTCATGCAGGTCACATGATCAGAGGGTGGAGTAAAATGATGCTAGAAATCACAAGGATGTTGATCACAAGGAAATCACGAGGATGCTCAAAATAAGAGTAGGCTTTGGCCGACCGTGTAGTTGCAGCTTCATCGTCCAGTAGTTTTCATGGCATGGAACTAGCCGAGTGTTTATATCTATTATTATTACTCTTATTATTATTTTTTTTTTTGGTTTCCTGATTCTTAAGGTGCAGGTCCTGCCTGGCCAGTCGCTATTGAACCGTAACTTTGTCCGGGTGGTGACCTCATCCGAGAGCTCTCCGCCGCCACCAGCAGCCGAGGTGTCGCCGGCCGCGGCAGCGCCAGTCACCATTACCAAAGTCGAGTCGGTGACTCCACCCGAGGCCACAGAGGTGGCCGACGCCATCCTTCCGGCCGAACCAGAAGAGGAGCCGCAAGCCATCGCATTAAGTCAAAAGCAGCCGGACGTCCAGGTTGTCGAGAGTCACGGAAACGACGACTCTCAACATGAAATCACCCAGGTCAGCCTCGGATGTCTTGAGTTTCGTCAGGGACACTACAGAGAAAAGTGATTTTTGTGTTTAAAAATTATGCTTTTGCAATAACAAAGGCGCCACTCCTGCCATGACAACACACTTGCTTTTAAAGTTCCTGCACCTATATTTTATTTGTCCTAATGGTATAGATTTGATACCATCTGCAGCGACCTGCATAATTTGTTATTTGTCTAAATTAATTACATATTGTTGTAAAAGAAGCAGAGACTAAACATGGCAAGCAAACCTTTATTTAGCCAGCGTTGCCAGTGTAAAAAAAAAAGCAATGCGTTGCATTGCAGCACACTCTATCTGTAATTCCATCTCCATCTGGAATTCAAAAATGAAACTGGTACTTTATTATTGCGAACTTACATCAGCATTAATGGCAATGTGGTGTAAACTCATTTCGCATGCCATTTTGATGTGTGTTTTTCTCATTATTTGGCATAAGTAAGCGGTGTTTGTCCACATATCTTGCACGTTCGTTACTATGAACTAGCAGAGGTCGTCCACACAACGTGCCTATATTCTTGCAGTGTGACCTAGTTTGCGCACTCTGTTTTCTTTTTTCACGTTCGGTTGGTGCTACAATACGACTGTGTCACTTTCTGCTAGCTACACTTCTACAATTAAAGGGGCCCTGCAACACTCATTGAGCACGGTCAGAGCACGCTAGCCAAATATTATAGCGCAGCACGCAGCCTGGAATTCACAATAAATTCACAAAGTCATTTGAGAATTGCTTTCTTTTCTATTGAGAAATGACGGAAGAAGCTAAAAAATCACTCGTCACAGCCGTCCTATCGGCCACTGGCTGATTTGGACAACGTGCGCTTGGTCCTTACAGGGATCGCCGCTGGAGGCCGTGACTTGTGCGCACGATCACACTGAAAAACTTCATATTCGAATAAAAAAAAAGGAAAAGAAAAAAGGTTCTCAAGTTCAAGAGCCACACGTGACATATTTTCTTTGCCCCTGCCATCCCTCGCTGCTAATTTCAATGCTTTCGTCAAGACAAGGGAAGAGAGAATGCATTGCAGCGTGCGACAAACCTTTGTAACTCCACTCGTATTAGACGTATTCTATAAATTTTTGTGGCTGTGAATTCGTGAGGCAATAAGCTCTTTTAGTGAATCCCTTCCATGGCTACTTGAAAAAGTGTTGCAGGGCCCCTTTAAGATTTACTGTAAGCCAGCACTGATGTTAACTTGCTTCTATAATTAATTTCTGAGTGTCCTAAAATATTTTTTTTTTTGTGTGCAGTTTTTATGTTTACCATATGGCATAATAGGCGCGCTGTTCTTTCCAGAAAATCCAGGGCCAAAGTCGGGATTTGCCTGATACGCGGGGTAAAATTTCCTAAATTAATTTCCGACTACAGCACAGACCACTGATAACATAAGCCGCCGAAGTCGCGAAATCCGCACTGCAGCCCACACAACTTTCTTCATAGGCTAGACTAGTGCAAAACGCGTTGAGCGTGCAATCTAGCATGCTGAGAATCGAGGCATGCAGTGCAATGTGCCTACAAGCATTTAAATAAAGCTTTTAAACTTGCGGATGAGGTAGCAAATGCGATAACGACGCTGTTCCCAACTTGATGAGAACGGGATAGCGCATTCCATGTGGAGCACACACACACTGGTGCAAAGGTTACTTTGACGCCCAGGCAACCGCCCTTCTTCCTTACTCAGCGAGCCCGCACAGCTGGCACAACTCTGCTGCAGTCTTTTTATTTTATTCCCTGCACCATTTGTGAGGAGGTGTTGAACGGCAAGCGTGCAAATACGGTGCAGAACTGCTGACCGTGGCCAAGTTTGGAGCGCGCGGAAATTTTTTCAGAAATCTGATTTCTCCTGACTGAACAGAGAGTGCGCCTATTAACAAGTAAATACAGTATGTAATGTGCTAATTCCGTGGTGCATTAAAGAAAAAACGATAGTCTGATAGTGTTGCCTAACAAAATTAGCTGGTATGAAATGAACTGCTTCAGCTTTTTTTCATACTCCCTTCTGACCATTCCCCTTCTGCCTCTGTCCGCTGATGCGGCTTTTCTCATTATGCTCAAGCTTACAAAAGTATGTGCCGTATGCATGGAGCCTCCATCAATCACGGTTGTTCTGCGTCGTTGCCGGTCCTTTCATGAATGTGGTATCCCTACCGCAGATGGTCTGCGCGGACGACGGAGAAGCCGTCAACGGCGCCGTTGCGGTGGCACAGCCTGTCATACGGCAGTACATGCTCCCCGATGGCCAGATCGTGAGCGCCTACGAGGATGCCGAGGGCAGTCTGGTGCAGCTGGAGACTCCCGAGGAGGAACAGACAACTGCGCTGGGCAACGTGGTCATCGTGCAGAACCCCGACGGGACCACCACTCTCCAAGTGAGTCGTCTCGGCATTTCGTTGCGGCTCGTTGCTGGGCTGGAGTCTGCTCTCAACGATCCAGCCTCGTACTTTAGAATGATAAGGGTTTTGAAGTGAAGGAAAGTGATAAAAATAAGGGCTTCGTTTGCTTTTGTTGGATGCAGTATTAATGAGAACTAACAGACAATAATGCCAGGGAAAGTACCGGGGCTATTATAGAGGTAATTGTAATGTAGGCGTGAAGAAAGAAAAGTGTACGAAAAGATAACTTGAATGAGTTGTACTTGTACCACCTACCCCGACAGTAGGGACAGTGTGTTGGGTCAGGTACTCCCCCCCCCCCCTCCCTTTCTTTTACTTCTGTTGCACTGCATTACTGCCTCCCTTGATAACCGTATGCCATCAGTCTACCACAAACAGCGATTCGTTCTGCATTTTCAGGTTCCCAATGACGGCAGCATCCCCATCGAAACAGTCCAGGCACTTCTGGCCATGGACCAGTCAGCCATGGTGGTGCACACGCAAGACGGAGGCATCGAGACGGCTTGAGCCGGCTTGGGATCGGATTGACGCTTTAGGTGCCATGTGGGAAAATGAACTTTTGGGCTCGGAAAGCGAACTTGCCCGACACCAGATCTGTGCCACAAAGACGAAGTGTGCAACGAGCAAGGTCGTAAATTTTTTTCTGAAATCACGCATTGGCCCCGCAGTCCGGAGGCAGGTGCGAGGAAGATGCTTATTCGGCGCAATGAACTGTGTCACAGCACCATGTGGCGACAGAGGTTACTGTGCCGTGCGACAAGCTGTGCAAACAACACAATGCAGTGTGCAGTAATGTGCACGGTGGTGACAATACGTCGGGGTAACGCACTTCTTCTTAACATTTGTTTTTCTTTGTTAGTGTGTCCCTGATGCAAGCAGCGTCATATCAATTCTGCTTGAAAATAATACATTTGTTGGGTCGGGGAGAGAGAACTTTTCTTGTTTACATACTTTTCCTAAATAGTTTTACAGTGACTCTTCCTTCTTTTTTTTTTCTGAGTGTGTATACAAAATAGAATTTTCTGAAATTTTTTTGTAGCAAAGTGGCTGGCAAGCAATACCAGCTGCAAGAATTGTAAAAAAAAAAAAAAAAAAAAAACAATTACTGCGTACTGGACGAGTGTAGCACCCAGCTACGTAAACCACTGGCTTCCGAGATGAGAGGCCAGGCTATTCTTTTTGCTTTATCGCACCTTTACATAGACAGCAAATGCACGCGTGTACAAAAGGTCTCGTCTGCTTTGCACATTTTTTTTTTTTTATGTTCTGCACGAGCCAGGCGATGCACGGCCTGAAGAAACAAAAGAGGGCTCCTTGTTGATCCATCTTGTTTTTTGTCTGTGACTGTCGCGCGCGTCCATATATTCATATGTACAGTCCACCCATTCATTGTCAGCAGTGTTTACTACTACATTGGCATTGCATACCGAGTGACGACATTGTTACCGGTCTTCAAGCCAGTCTCGACCAGCCTCCCCACATTCGTTCTCTTTTCTTTTATAGTTTGCAGAAAGTCGATGTGTATATAACCAGTTCCAGCTCTACCGCGCAGTGGCTTTTCGAAAACTACCATGGTGGAGGTACAACGGAGGTCCGAAGGAATGTGGGAGAGCGTTTTTAAGTCGCAGGAGCGGTGACTTCGACGACAACGCGATTTCTTTCTCTCTACCCTGGCAAGTACAATTTGAGCGTCACATGCGTTGCGGGAAATAAAGAAAAGCGCGAATGGCATGGACAGGACATTTGAAAGCTTGCACTTCTGGAAGTTTGACGCCGCGATGCGCATACGCGTAGAGCGCGGGCGTGAGCGAAGTCGGCGTTGCCAACACGCGTGGCAGGAGGTTTGGCGAGTGCTATTGGACTGAAGGACTTGTACATAGGCCTAGCACTTCAAACGCTTCTCGTATCTCTATATGTGTTGCCCAGCCTTGCCCAACAATAGGGAAGGTTTTTGCTTAGCTGTTATAATGTCTTGTGTGCTTCGCTGTGGAGCACGGTGCACCAGCTTCAATCTTTTTTTTTTTTTCCCCTTTCATCGTCACTTTTGGCAAAAAAAAAAAACGGCGACGGTCTGCATGGTGAGGCCTGCGCTGTCGCATCAATCTACTTGTAGATACCAGTGAAAAATTATCTTTGTCGATCTGTGGTTTTGTCTCCTGAAAGTGGCGTTTTTGGATATAATAAATGTTCTTTGAACCAGATGAAATTCTGTCTTTTATTGCACACGAGGTGTCCTCTTTGTATGTGTTCACAGGTTTATACCTAACTTGTGATGGCATTACTGCAATATTACACAATATTAAACACGTGCAAATCGTGTGATCTAACCTCAACCTTTAGCAACGTATCTCGCAATAGATTTCCTCATTTATGCAGGAATTGGGCTGCTATAGATAGTGCTTGGCACACCCAAAATAATTCAAATTAAGACTTTATGGCCATGCATGGTCTTGTTTTTTTTTTTTTTTTTTTGAATGTCGAAGGCTTATCTAGCAGGAGCAGCACAATCTGATACCGCGCTCATACACTTCCTATGCTGCTGTCTGTTGTGAAGTCTGATGTGCTAGCATAAGAGACAGCCATGTGAGCGTGGAATGAGCAACTGGACAATCCAGCTTGACGCCCAATAAATCAAACTGTTGCTGGCTGTACAATACCCAATATAATGTTATTTGGGATGCTCTAAAGTGGAGGTATTAAGTTTGCTTCAGCCAGTAGGCTGAAGTTATAAAATTTAGCCTTCTGAATGGCCAGTGCGGTGAAAAAAACAAACAAAAGAAAACTCCAGGCCTGCATAAAACATGATGCACAGTCCACGGCGTATGAAAAAATTTAGGTGTAGCCACTCCACCTGCCTTGACGTAGACCATGTCCAGATAACGTTCGGCATTAGTACATGCGCTGACTGTAGTACAGTGCAGTCCACTTATAACGATATCGAGAAAACCTAAAAATATGATCGTTATAACCGGTGATCGTTATATCTGGACTGCCGCCAAAAAATCGTCGCCGGACGTACCTTTTGTAGCTCCAGGCTTCATTTTGCTATTTTCACCAATTAATAAATATTGTAGATAGTAGGATGTCAAAAACAAGACTTTATTTCTTACTCCGAAGAACGCATCACGGGTACGCTGAGGAAGAGAGACTGACCGACGGCGGGGTGGGAGCAGTGGGAGGAAGAAAGCACAGCCAGAGGTACACAGCCGGAATGCCAACGAGGCCCCGCCCCCATGCCGCCGCGCCGCTTTGCTTTTCGCTTTTTTTATTTTCTCTCTCTTTCCCGCTTTCGTTCGGCAAGCTACGAGTAGCTTGCCGGCTTGCCGTTGTAGAAGGCGGGGAGCCGCGGAGCGCGGCGCTTTGCTTTTCGCATTTTTTTTTTTTAAATTCTCTCAGCCTCTCCGCGGTCGACGCGCGGCGAGGCGCAAAACGTGACACAGCTGGCGCCATCTGTAGCGTGTCGCGCCAACTCGCGACGCTCTCCTCGGCTTTTTGCACGGCTGGGACGCGCTGCCGGCGCTGTGCTGCAGTGGCGGCAGGTACTCGCCTACGCTAACTTTTCGTCTTGTCTCGGCATAGTTCGTTTCAGAGGAACTTATCAATCTAAATGTTACGATTATTCTGAATGAAACATGCCGTCCACGGCAAACTTTTCATCGTTGTATCTGATATGCGGTGGATAACATATCGTTATATATGGTTTTTTTCCCCATAGCCCCAATGCATAAAATGAGACTGTTAGGTCGACCCATCGTTATAACCGATATATCGTTATATGTGGTATCGTTATAAGTGGACTGCACTGTATTGCGGCACTATAGCAGAGGGGCGCTGCGACATGGGGGCCCAAAGGGAGACAGCGTGACAAGGCAGACGCATGATATTATTATTATTATTTTTATTTTTTTGAAGCACTGTGCTCGTCAGCAACTAAAGCTAGAACCGCAAGCCGCATTTTTCGGGACCAAAAAACGCTACGTGTGGTGAACGCTGCAATTGCCTCCATAATGTTCTCCCATACGCAACGCCATTGCGGACACTACATGTACACCTCTTCATCTATAGTACATACACCTACCACAGTCACATGGGGGGCACAGCAACATTTTGGCTGGTAAGGGGCTGGGAGGCCTGCGCGTCCGAGGCACCCTAGGGGCTGGAGGGACTGAAATCGCCGAACATTATCTGGACAGGCCTTGGGGCAGAGTGTTCACTCTTAAATTATTTTTCTTACATCGTGGCACAGTCGCAGGCTACCGCTGGAAGAGCGGCCTTCCTGGAGCCTTTTTGAAAGACCTTGTGGGTAACTCCTGCAAGCGCACTTGCAGGGTGCTCACTGCGCCATAAATCACAATTTGTATGTGGTAGGAAGGCATTCTTCTTCTTAACCTCCACACATGGCACTCGCTCATTGGAGAAAACTGGCTGAGTATAAAGACATTCAATATGCCATTCTGCATCGATCGTTTTTCGGAGAAGCGTGGCATCTGCTACACACTTGCAAGGAAATTTTTTTGCAAGTTTTTGATGCTTTGGCTGATGACGTTGAATTATGCCCGAGGCTTTTGTAATGGGTTGGGGCATTCGACGACCCACTCGTTACATAATTCGCATTGTGTGGCGCCTGGTTGTTCATTTGCTATTCTAAAGCTTTTGAGTACTCATCTTAACGCGATCACTTTCCCGACATGAAGACTGCGTAGAGTTAGTTTGCAATCAGATTCAAGAACCGGCGTGACTGAGTGGAATACTGGGCTGGCCCTCTGGGGACCTGGGTTTGAATCCCACTTTGTCTGGTGTTTAATTTTTTTTTATTTCACACGATAGTGGTTACGGACACCAGCGGTGGCAGACAACTTGTAAACTCTGTTGGAAGCATGCAGTGAGCCACTCATTACGCGATTCACATTGTGTGATGCCTGGTTACAGAATACGCATTGTGCGACACGTGCTTGTTATTTTGCGGTTCCTTGCTCGCATAATGCCGGTGTGGGTTCTTTTGTTGCGTAAGCTTCACTGGCTGAAGTTGAGCACTTTTGTGTGGTATATCGAGAGCTGAACCGATCATGCACGAGGCACAGTGACGTCGCACTGCTCCAAACCTCGTGCATGTGCGTCGATAGAATGCTTGGCATCTTTGGTCGCAGGTCAAGAGACTGTGGGTTCGACTCCCAGGTAATCTAAATAACGAAACGTTTCGTCCTATTTTTCTTTGTCACCTGTTCAAGGGCATTTCACCGATGTCACATCTGTGACAGAAATTGCGTTAGTGAAGTCTTGGTGTACCTTAGCATGCAACACTGTTGTGTTAAACTGCTCTCTAAGAAAGGGGTGCACCGCTTTCAGTTTCAAGTTTCCAGCAACGAATGAAAATCACTCACTTTGCTCCTGCTGCTAATGGGACTTACAAGTTCCACGGGAGATTCTTTACCCTACTATTCAATTGGTGCAGCGCACACCGTTGCATGCTGTGGGTCTTTGTGGTTTACGGTGCATACTAATTTTTCAGATTTAATAAAAAAAATTCTGTGTGTTATAATGTTGTTTTTTATCAACAGTAGAAAAAAGCACGCATTATTTTGCGCAAGAACACAATTTCATATTGAAGTGTGGTGCTCACCACAATCGAAACAAAGCTGGCAGCACAATTTTGCTGGCTCGGCAAATTGCATGTTCCGACCATGCTCCGCCGCTGCAAACAGAATAAAAATATCCAAATATATTGGTCATTGACAGCTCGGCAAATTGCATGTTCCGACCATGCTCCGCCGCTGCAAACAGAATAAAAATATCCAAATATATTGGTCATTGACAGCTCGGCAAATTGCATGTTCCGACTATGTTCGCCGCTGCAAACAGAATAAAAATATCCAAATATATTGGTCATTGACAGTTGCAGGGAAAGTGATGGGCTGTTTTTTTTTTTTTTTTTTTTGAAAATAACTGTGTTTTGGTGTCATGTGAAGCGGCCTTTATGCCACGCAGCCATTTCATGCTTTGCAGACACCACCGCTATCTATATGCCATGCTTGTTTATTTGTAAGCCCAAGCATGGTAAGGGGTAAGATTTTATTACACAAAGTGAACTTGAGGCACCATAGCACATGGTACATTATTTCTCGTTTAGTGAATTCGTTTATGGGCGCATACACACAAAATGTCATCCTGCAGGCTTCCTGAAGGACGGATATAGCGTCTCAGAGAAGACTCTCTGGAATGTCGGCACGCTCCGGGTAGCTCAGCTGGGTGCCGGGCGACTGAACTGTGATGGTGGCTACGTCGCACGCCTTCTTTATGGTGTCCGCCAAGGGAACATCGCGGTGTCGCACGTAGTGGTACACAAAGGCCCCATTGAACGCGTCGCCGGCTCCCTACGCAATCACAGAAAAGGCAAAACAGTGATTACAATGAACTGACTAACTAAAAATTCAGGCGCGCTTGTCCTATTGAGAAAATAAAGGCAAAAAATGAAGCTTGGCATATACATGCCTGACATAAACTCGAACCTTGATATAACGAACCCTGATCCATCGCTTTGATGGAAATAAAAGTGCACTATTTGTCTCACATGCGTGACTGCCGTAAGTAACGTAGGCCGGTTCCTACTTTAAATTTTTTGCAAATATTGGTTTGCAAACTTTTGTTCACATGTATATTTTTTCCTTAATATTCCGCTTCGTTTAAAAATAATCTTCTGTTGTAAGTTCAGTGCTCGTCTGTGTTCTTCCTATCCCTTGTCCTCCGTTGCGCTGTTGTCAGTAGAGTACGATTGCAGGTGGTGCTAAAGCAGGTGCCCTGATCACCGGCTGCGATTGTCACGGTGTGGCGCCCCTTGGCCAGCAGAGCTTTTGCGGCAAGTTGCCAACAGAAGCAAGGGCAAACCTATTATGGCAAATTAACATTAACTAGCAGTAATGCACCAACCGTTGTATCCTCCACGTCGACCCTCTCTGCTGGCACCTGCGTGAGCAGCTGATTGGAGCTGGTGCAAAAGCAGGCTCCCTGATCACCGGCGGTGATTATCACTGTGTGGCACCCCTTGGCCAGCAGAGCTTTTGCGGCAGCCTGACACTCTGTCATGTTGGTCACCTTGAGGCCGGTCAGCTTGCTAGCCTGCAGTGAGGATGATGCGAGATGTCTCTGCCGCAAACATGATCATTAACCGGCACATAAATACAAGGTAGTTGGCCATTGAAGCACTCTTGCATCATTGCAGCATGAAATATTAAACAAGATATGTGTGCGGTCAGGGCAAGTGCTCGTATGAATTCTTTTCTTATACTTTCGCTACGCCATTATAGGGTAGTCACAGCGACTGCAGCTTCTCCAGTGGTGGGCCTCGCGTCCAATAGACGTGAACACTGATGTTGAGAGCATACCTTCAAAAAGTGGCAAAGTGTAGGATTTCTGCTTGTCTTCAAATGTGCGATTGTTGTTTGCTCCAAGCTAAATAAATGTGAAGTTGCCGAGTGACACTTTATAAACTAATGTCACTCTGCAATTGACTAAATGGCAACCAATAATTAACATAATTTAATTAAGCAGATTAACAATTGTGATATCTGCTGCACGAGAAAGTCATTAAGGCACTTCACACAGTATTATCACAAATAGCAAAATGGACACAGAAAGACAATATTTTGTGAAGTGCTCGTACAATAATGCACGTACCTCGGTCTCATTAACACAGAGGATGTCGGTGAGCTTGTAAACCTCGTCTGTCATTGAAGGATCGTACGGAGCAGCATTTACAAACGTTGTCACTGCATTGTGAAAATGGAAAATTAAGCCAAATGTTGCACAAATGGGGCTAATGGTGAAGAATCCTACATGTCTGTGCATAGTTCAAAGAAAGAACTGGATATGGTATGGGGATGAGCGACAGCGAATCATTATTTCATAAAGTGCTCGAGCCAACAGCTCCCACACGGCGACTATAACAGGGCTGCCAATATGGCCTGTACGACTTCAAACATTTAGTGCAACTGTGCACTAGATGGGATGATAATAACTTTATACTAAAGTTATAATTGTAGCTATTATATTGAATTTATAATTACTTTATGTTGACACAATGGAAATGCGGGTCACTGTCACAGGACACTGCAGCAAGCTTTGGTCAATCATTGCTCATGCTTACAAGAATATACTGCACGTTGCACTTCGTTTCGATAAAATTGACTAATAATCTAATGTGAGTGCTGATGTTTTATCCGAACATAGCGGTGGGGAAACAATTTAGTATTGCAACCTATAAATGTATAAATGTTGACAGCTGAGCAGGATGTTGCACAGGGTGGCTGGGAGCTCGTGGTTCTTGGCAACGAGCCCAGCTGGAAACTACGACCTTCCATTGCCTTATGTCGGTGAGTTACCATTCAAAGGATAGCTGCAGCTCGGAGCACGCTTGCACGTTTGCTCGCTTACCAAGCATCATCTTAGCAACAAGTGTGGCATGTTTCGGTATTGTAAGAGGAGTCACTTCATTCTTTGACTGCGCAACCAGTAGCACGCTAAAGTGCCCAAATGTCATTCACGCCCGGTGCTTTTCATTTACCATTGTACTTTCGCGCAGTTCGCAGGGCTTCTAGCAGCGTCTGCCTGGAGCATTCAAAGACTGCCACCAGCATCTTCGCGTTCTTGATCATTAGCTCGGCGTCGCGGACGTCTTGAGGCAAAAGCAGCGCAGCAGCTCCGGGCACATAGACAATGCAGTTGTCACCTGTAGAAAAATTTAACAAAAAGTATCAGCTTGCATCTTTTCGTACTTGTCGCCTTAGTAACAACTAAGCAGTGGAGAGTAACAAGAAAAAGCTGCAACTGTCAAGTTTTATTTATGTCTTTCCAACATTTTAATTATCCTACTTCTAATTAATGTGATATTTAGCACATGGGTTCTGGTGCTTTTATAAAAGGCAGCTAACCTTGTCATTTTGCATCTCTAAGCAAAAAAAAAAAAAAAACAGCGTTGCCTCAGAAGCCTGCCCATAAAAATGGTTGGGATGACGTGTTCGATGTTTCATGACCTTATTAATTTATGTCATGACATACAAAAATAAGAAAACATTCATTTAACAGACCAAGCTGGTAGTGCTCTTTGTCTCAAAAATCGTCTATACAGCTGACATCTAAAACTATCGACATGAATATTACAAGAGTTATCACATAATGATGCGAATCTGGAATGCTTCTCGATTTTATCAGTATGAAATGTCTATTAAAAAAATGTCACAGAGGATCCTTAAGCATATTCTTAGAAGGTTAGAACCCAAACACGTTTCTTTTGGTTAGGCTGTTGTTTGGGAGGGGTACTGTGAAGTGGCGCGCCCCAGGTTGTGGTGAAGGCCAACTTAAACGGCAGACGAGGGCGCGTTCGGTTTGTAGATGCTACGTCAGTGGTTGCAGTGGCAGCCGTCTGCACGTACACACATTGTGGTAACTACTGCTATGAATTTTCTTTTTTTATTATTCTCAGAGTAGGAATTGCCCCTCTTGCGTATACACAGGGCGGAGAAGGGAATCCCTTCTGCAGCAGGAATTCCCCTCTGCTAAGCTGCATCTTCAGGTTTTTAACCAACCAGTCAATTAATCGATTGGTTTTATTATTAGATAAGATGTTAACTACAAGGTGTAAAAATGTACAGACGCAGCAGCACACTGTAATGCGCACCAAGTGTTGCTGAGGTGGCACCAGCTGGGCATGTTTTGGCAGGAGAGGTCGCACGGCTTCTATACATACTCCTGTTAGGTGTACACTTTTGCAAATCTATTACACTCTAACCTCAATATAACAAGCATGGATATAACCAAATATCGGTCACAATGAAATAAGTTAACAATAGTCGTGCAATAGATACAGTGTTAAAATTACCTTTGTAATGCATACACAGATATAATGAATTTATATTCATGCAAGATGCAACTTTGCTACAATGAGGTTCGAGTGTCAGCTTTCACATTAATATACTAAAGGTATCGCTTACTTTTCAGTGCCCTCATGATGACAAAAAGAACTGCAGCAGATTTCCTCATAGAAAACCTTCGTGCATGTGGAAGATTAGCTTCCCACGCTATTCACAGACATCATCCAACAGTTAGCCACTTCAAGCAAATAATTATCCAGCACCAGTATTGTGTTTCCAGGGCCACCTCAATCTTGACTCAAAGTCCAAGACATATTTCTGAAAGAGTCGTACTTTCTATCTTACCTTTCTTTGTCACAATGATGTTCGCCGTGGCATTGTTGGCCCTCGCATCTGCCGGCTTGACGTGATCTGACAGATGACAGACATGCAGATGATGTCAACACACCATGTTGGTTAGAGGTTAGAGGCAAACAACAGTACATACCTGTATTAATTTTAATCTCGCGAAGGTACTGTAAGTAGTCCTTTCCAATCTTGTCACTGCCAACCTGAGCATGGAAAGAAAAGCCATACATTGCCATGTCCTCCTGCACTCACATTTCCTTTTTCTGTCGTACTGCTTCTTGCACATGTTGACACAAGGATGCAATGCAAACCAACCCAGCATAACACTAATTTCATGCAGATACAGCAACAACCAGGCAATGACACAATGTATATGTAATGAACCAATAGACAAAAAAAAAAACGGAACTCACTTTAGCGATCATGCCGCACGTCAGACCCATGCGAGCGGCCATGACACAGGAATTGGCTCCCTTGCCACCGTGACCCATGACAAAGTCGTTCCCAATCAGCGTTTCACCAGGTACTGGGAAGCGGTCAGCATAGCTGCAACAGCGAACAAACATGATAAATGTAATTCACTACAATGAGCACAGCATTACAGCTAGTAACATAACCGATTTCTTGCTAACAATTTTGCAATGCTATGCAGGAAAACTTATACAGACTTGCCAGGTCTACCATTAGAAAGTTATTAAACATTCTGTAGACAACTCATAACTCCTGTATGTTTTTTTTTCTACCATTAGAAATTTACATTTTGTAGACAACTCATCACTACTGTATGTTTTATTTTTTCTATATCTGACACTTTGCCACCCAATCCATTATTTAACCAGATAATTAATGTATCCCCAGGGCCTGAAGGCATAAGGGTTCTAACTACAAATTTTTAACACACACCTCTGCAATATTGCACTGGTTAGCGAGATTGTAATCAGTGCACATAATAAAGTAGTCGAAAATAATGTTGGCAGGCCTATCATTGAAAAAAAAAAACTTTCAGCACAAGATATGTGGGGTTTAACGTCCCAAAACCACCATATTATTATGAGAGACGCCATAGTGGAAGGCTCCGGAAATTTCGACCACCTGGGTTCCTTTAACGTGCACCCATATCTGAGCACACGGGCCTACAACATTTCCTCCTCCATCGGAAATGCAGCCGCCGCAGCCGGGATTCGAACCCGAGACCTGCGGGTCAGTAGCCGAGTACCTTAGCCACTAGACCACCACGGCGGGGCTTTTCAGCACAAGAGCTTTCCAGAGAATTTTGCGTGCAGGAGGCCGCGGTTCCAAATGGGAAGGGGGCTGGGAACACTTTGTGGCTTAAAAACAAATGTTAGGCCAGAATCTATTGATTGATATGTGGGGTTTAACGTCCCTAAACCACGATATGATTATGAGAGGCGCCGAAGCGGAGGGCTCCGAAAATTTCGACCGCCTCAGGTTCTTTAACGTGCACCCAAATTTGAGCACGCGTGCCTACAGCATTTTCGCATTCATCAAAAATGCAGCCACCGCAGCCGGCATTCGATCCCGCGACCTGCGGTGCAGCAGCCGAGTACTTTAGCCACTAGACCACCGCGGCGGGGCTGCAAATCTTTTCCAAGCATTTATGTGTAGTACCATCGCTCTTTATTTGACACGCTGTGTTAGCTACATGAGGCGACGATATATGCCAATGCACGGGAGCGTTCTAGTGTGGCCGAGGCGCCACGACGGGGCTAGGTCAGAATCCATTCAAGAAACACGCTTACCAGGAGATACTATCGATGCTGAGCAGTTGGTAGCTGCATGGGGAACTTCATCATTCTTAGGGTAGTTTTTCGATAGCGTGTTTTTTTCATTGGACCACAAACACATCCGGTTTAGCCGATCTCTCTCATTCTCCATGAGTAACATTGCGCTGTACAGCTAGTTTCACCTTGGTTGCACAGCAAGCAGAGAACGACGTGACATAGTGGTCAGCGCGCCAATGCTTCGACTGTTACCTGGTCAAGTCCACCACGCAGGCACCAAGAAATACAGCTTCGACGTTCTTGACATCGGGCGCCTGTTTGACCTCGGCGCCTTTCTCTGGCTTGGTCTCCCCTTGCTTACCAGTTGGTTTCGCTTCACTCATGCCGCGATCTCAGGCCGTGCGATTTTAGTCGCTACCAGACGCCCCGTGAAACGTCGACCTCCGAGCCCCAACTGCGCGCGACGATAAGAGATAACGCTTACGTTTATTGAGATACCAGATTGCAATCTAAGCAAACATTCGCCAGCGAAGCGCGCGCGCTGACGCTGAGCACCGCATTCGAACATATGGCGCTAGCAACATTACGTCACGAGACTAGGCACTCTTTTATATCGTCCATGCTGCGCCTTCAAGACGCACCTGGTCTATAATTGGCGCACAAAACGAACATAATCGAAGAGCGATCGAAGCACCAATTTCAAGTACCAGCGGGTATTTAATCTTGCTTTATACAGTGACGTATAACCTACCACCATCCCAACAGCCGAGTGACTCCAACTTATTTGGGGTATACAAAACCACACTCACGCAAACAAATTATTTAGGTTCTCTTATCTAGTGACCGCCTAAATAGTTATATTTACAGCCTACGTTTTGTTATATTTTATTTTAGCTAGTTGATGTGCACTATTTTACATGCACCAGTACACCTCAACAAATGTACGTAGATAATAGCGGTGAGCTTTAGTTTTTTACTTCGAAAACAAACGCCATGTGCTCACGTGCGCCTTCGCGATGAACACCCCTACTACGCCGAAAGGCGTCACATTTTCTCCGGTTTCAGGTGCTTACGTTCACTTACCGACGCAAAAGTCACGGCATGCAAGCAACAATTGAAATCGGCGAAAGGAACCGTTTGTATCCCATCATTGGCGTTTTCCGGTTGCAGATCGCAGCGGTGGTGCCGGTTCAACTCAGGGAAACTTGACTGGTATCGCTCGGAAAATAAAGGACAGCTGCGCCGATATCTACAACCTGTCGCAACGGTGGGACACGCTCCGAGCCAACGGAGCCGTACTGCTGAATAGGATAGCAGCCACGAAGCTAAAAAGGTACGCGCCAGTACATGCAACGGCAAGGTTCCATTTGGCGTTGCATAAGTGGTTGCCAGACTGGAAGGGTGGCTGTTGCCAGACTGCCGCTAAATATGGCAGAATTTTTTTTTGTAGTTGTGGCTTCTTCGCAAGAGTTTGGTGCTATCCGCGGTGCACTTCTTCATGCAACTCTCCGCGTGTATAACCAAAACGAACGCGATAACTTGTGCGGGATAGAAACCACTTCATTCAAAAACACTTCACATGTTCGTGTCCTTTCCTGGGATTGTATGTTTCGTAACCATTTGTAGTGCCGTGGCTCCGTAATGCCTCGCAACAAGGCACGATATCATCTTGTTGCATTTGGCATTTTTTTTTTTCAGAACATCACAGCGACGGCGAATTTTCGCTTTGAGTGCCCCTATAATTGCAATCGTAAGAAATTGTACATGTGGGTTAATTGTCTATGCATTGTATGCAAGATAATGTGAAACTATCTAAAGAGGTTTACAAACGTCAGTGTTGGTTTCTAAAGACATTTTTCGATCCAGCTTGCAAAATAATTCGACTGAAGCTTGCAAGGTCGTGCTATCCACTTCATACGAAATAACATTTTGCTGGCCTAAGCTTCTTGTGCTTTATGTTGAATTCCAATGGCGGAGTCGGAGCAAGTTTTTCTGCTCCTTTCAGAGCAAGTGTGTTCCAATGACAGAGTGAGAGCGAGAGTCAAAAGTTCCAATGAGAGAGCCGGAGGGGATTCAGAGCGGGAGTCCCTCCGTGGAGCAGGAAAAACTGCTCCGCCGAAATCGGTGGAGTGGACCGGAACTCAGCGTGACGCATTTCCTTTAACATGCTTGCCTGCTTGGGGGCGCGGCTGGCGCGGCGCGAGTTGTGTTGATAATGGCGGACGGCATGGACGGCTCGGCTACCTCGGCAAAGCGTGCGGAAATGCTTCTGCTACTCGATAGCGACAGCAGACATCGTGGACAATAGCTGTTGCACGCTTGGCGTGATATCCATTCCACACAGGTGAATAGCGCTGAACAAGCAAACGAACGATGCGGCGATGCTGGTAAACCACGTGGGAAACAGACAGCGGAAAAGACCACGCGCAAGGTATCCTGGGTAACGCGGCAGCTTCCGCCTTGCTCCAGCAGGGCGGGTTGTGTTCCGATGGCGGATTTGGAGGATTTGCTATACGCCAGAGTCGAGTGCTCGCTCGCGAAGTAGGTCGGCTGCACCGACTCCGCCATTGGAATTCAACATTAGTTTTCACTTTTGCGAGATCGGAGCCACAACTTGTCACATGGTGCACAAACAACCAATGGAAGGATACCGACATGCACTGCATGACAACAGACTGGAGAAAGCGGAAAATGGGGCCTGACGTGCTATTCTGGACACTTGAGTTCTGCCATATTGTCAAACATCGTAATGGCAGCATTTTATAGGGACACTAAAAAGGAACAATGAATCGGTTTAGATTGACAAATTGCACCCTGAGAACTCAAATGCCACTTATTTCACAACCATAAGTTCATTATTATTAGCAAAGAAAATCAAGGTTGAAGTTTCATTTTTAAATTTCGTGTCTAAATCTCTGCACGTGACGTACGAAATTTCAATATGTATTTCCAATATTTTCGCGACATTGGCTTGATGAAATTTTTCTAAACTTATTATGCGAAGTCAATGGGAACCACATACTTATAACTTACCTGTGATAGAATTATTTTTGTGATGCTTATACATGTAATTGTAAGCTTGTGTACTAAATCTATTTATGAACGTGTACATTTTAGATACGCTTGTTCATGTAATTGTTCTTATATATGTATGCCCCTCCTGCTTTGGGCCGGCAACCTCAGCCTACAGTATGATGAAATAAATAAATAAATATGGCAGTGTACTTCAATTTTACTGATTAGGAACTGTAGGACCCAGTGGACGCCTTCAAGATTTTTTACGTCACGGTGTTTGGTGCATCTAAAGGGGGGTCACCACCTTCATTTTCTTTTACGCGTGTTTTCTCGCTTACTAAGCGTCGTGTCACGGTAAGAGTGGTGTCTTTGAAATTGTGAAATCATACTCTACTAATGCGACAAATCATTTTTCCCTTTAGTGTCCCTTCCAGCCAACCAGAGAATTCGTAGCAACTCTTTGAGCCAAGCAGGGTTGAGCAATCGTGAAATTCAGCAATGTGCAGAATAGTACCCTTAGTGTTAGTCGAAACGTGGGAGCTGTGCTCCCAACATGGGCTGCGGTAATAGTGCTTTTTAACTCCTGCTGTTAGGTTAACACATGTCTGCCTTGTGTGAGGAATTACAGCATGCTAGGCCAATGTTTCTGGTACAGTCTGCAGGCTAAAGAGGACGAAACTCCAGATGAAGCAGAACACAGTGACAGCAAGCTCTTGGAGCTTTGCTCCTTGCTTCTTGATGTGTGGACCGAGATGGTAAGAGCGAATGCCCTTTGTTACTTTCATATAGCACGATACTCATAAAATTATATGTGACAGAAAATATGTTTGTTATTTTAGAGCTCCGTGTCATGTAACAATGAACTTGGCCACTAAAGGTGGCACGGACTATCGTCCAAGTACGTCAGCCATATTTACAGCGCCGTCGCAGAAATTGGAGGATACAAAATTGTGTATGCTGGGCAGTCCTTGATTGACATGTTTCATTTAGAGAGCATACTATGTAACACTGTGGTAGATCTACCTGTATTTCCATCTTATACTGATGCTCTCAGAGTTCTGGGAGATGTTGATAGTATGGGGGATTACCAAGTACAATAATGACATGCCAAATTGTAGTACACACATATAACAGAAACTGTGTTATATGAATATCTGTATCTCTGAACGCTTGCACCATATCAGCTAGAACTGTAGTTTGCTATCACTTATAAAGCATATAACAGTTCCTGTTATTTCCAACTAATAAAACCAACATGACAATTAAGCAAAGGAAAGCAATAGGGAACATTATTTGTGGTTTTTCAATTGTCGAGCACTTATTCTGACTTAAATGCTAAGCAATTAATATGGACGAAAAATTGCCCTTTCTGTTGGTGGGATCCAAACCCACAATCTTCTAATTGTGCACCCAATGATTTATTGTTTGAGCTACGACAGAGAGCGAGGGCAGACATGATGCCTTAGGTAGCACGAGAGAATTTATTAATCAGTTGCAACCTTACGGGAGATTCACGTAACCCTTGACGCCCTTTGAAAAAAAAAAATCTTTAATGTTAATTTACTACAGCGCAGAAATCCCAATACTATCCCTTATGCTTTTCTTGGCTTAGTTGTCTGTCTATTTCATTAGTTGTGTATAATACAGCAAACAAGCTCCTCAGACAATTCTCCTTCTTTTGCACAATTTTCGTTATGCGTATGAAAATTTGGGGGCTCTGCAACACTTTTCGAGCATGGTCAGAAAACGCTGCCGATCGCTAGCAGAGGCTCTCGAGAACACGCGAGCCAAATATTATAATAGCATAGCACGCGGACAGGAATTCACAATAAATTCTCAGAGGCAGCTAAAAATTGATTTCTCTTCTCTCAGCGAATGATGCTGCTGGCTAAAAAATCACTACATTCTTGGCCAATTATCAGCCATTGAGCATGCCGCAGTACTCAGTCGTTACTGGGGCCATTACTGAAAAGCCGCACGTACAGAAAAAAATTGCTGAAGGTCACGAGGAGCCCGTGACGTATTTTCTTTGCCCCTGCCATCCCTCCCTGCTTAGCTTCCAGTGCTTTTGTCAGAGTGAAAGAATAGAGAATGCAATTGCAGTGTGGTACAAATCTTGGTAACTCCGCTCGTACTAGACGGGTTCTAAAACGTTTTGTGTCGGCGAATTTGTGAGGCAATAAGCTTTTTTAGTGAATCTATTCCATGGCTACTTGCAGTGTTGTAGGGCCCCTTCAACAGCAATCAGAATTCCAGCTGGTGTGATGCACATTTTATGAGTAATGCTAATAATTCTGATTGTTTGCACTGCATATAATTCGTTACATGTTCCCTGTATTCTTGTAGATCAAAGTCTGTTGATATTTACCTATTAGTATTGAGATACAGTTTATATTTAACTGTTTTTACATATTTTCCTCTATATCTTAGTGTTGGCTTTGATTTTTTCATGTATCTGAGTTGGTAAGTGCATATTCCTTCTGCACGGGCATTTTTAAATATGTCTGTCTGAATTGAGTGATTTATACAGGTAAAACTTCCTTTAATTATTCACAGTAAATGGAGTGTTGTAAGTGCAAAATGAATGCACACTAATGGATAAAGTGTAACAGCATATCTGGAATTGTTTTTCTATTGCATACCAATCCTTGACAAATCTACACCACCATGTGTGGAATGCCGAGATGGTGTTTCAGTTAACATTTTGCTGCTGTGTAGTAAAGTGTAAATGGAGTTTATAAAGGTTTATCTGGAAGTAAAATATAAAGTTTTGAGAGATTTGTTGCAAGAGCACTGAAAGTTGGTACTGATTCATACTTAAAACTTGCACAACAAAAAACACGGACGAAAAAACGGGTCTCTTCTCGTCCGTGTTTTTTTGTTGTTGTTGTTGCGCAAGTTTTAGCTATAAATCAGTACAAACTCGCCTATCTTTCAGTACTATTAACTACTGTACAAGCACAGAAACAAGAAAGGCATACTGATATTGTAACTGTTTTATTTGTGTACTTTATTCAATATAAAAAAATATGTTGCCCGTGAACGGCTGCAGGGTAACATCAATTACTTCGACTATATAAAAGTGACACATATTTCAGGATCAGCAAGTCTGCAAGATGACTTCAATCGTAAACAACCTGGCAGCCGTGGTGGACCTTCACAACACCTCGTCTTCGCTGCGCGTCGATGAAGTTCCCTTTGCCACTTGGCCAGTCGAACGTTTCTGTAAGGTGCATCTGACCAAAGTAGCATTTGGCAGCCTCATTCACTCTCACGATTCAGGTTTTCCTAATAAATTCTTGACACCTTCAGTCTGCACGTCGTGTAATATGCCTTCCTTTCACCATGTGTTCGCACATACGAAAGAACTTATAGTGTGTATGATGTAGATTTCTGATTAAAGAATAAACAACATTGCAAGTTAACAATAAATAAATTTGGCAAACCTATCACAATGCTGGTTATTGAACTTGTTGAATCATTGAAAGCAGGCAAAATTAACATGCCATGCAATATATTGCTCTGGCTCATGTTTGTACGCAGGACTTTTTCAACACACTCGTGAAGGTTGTAATATTTAGCATATGTAGCTAACATGTATGTTGTGTGTCTACATTGAATTCTGTAACATACATGCAACAGTTGTGTAGCTGTAATTTTTTCTAATAGAAAGTGACAGGTTATAGCTAGAAGTTACCTGAAAAAGTAACTTCAACTAGTAACACATTATGAGTAACTCGTTATTGCCCAGGGATGATTTTTATGTAGTAATTGGAGTTGACCATGAGGTTAATTTTGTTTGTTATTACTATTAATAAACCTGTGTTTAATGTATCTTAGTCCTGTTTTCCCCTGGAAGATCTTTGGGAGCAATTTACCAACAGTAGTTTTGAAGTGTGCCTTGTTTTCTTTTTCAGACGACACAGCTTGCGACATTGCGGCTGCATTCGCAAAGGAGCTGGGTGTCAAGAAGTGTGTCGTGGAAGAGGTAGCCAGACAGAGTGATGAGAAGACACTGTCATTTTACGTAACTGTGTGGACTTACCAGGCCTACATCGACGCGGACACCGAACTGTCCCTCGAAGCCATGGTGCACGAAGTTGGCCTGAAGTGAGCACTCCAGTGAAAAGACTTATTGGGTTTATTGGTAGTTTATTTTTGTATAAGGTTAATCGTTCACGAAAATGCCGCATTAACCCTTGCACGTACCCGCACATTCACTCGTATGTATGTTTGGTTGAGGATTGTGTGTTTCTGAGCGAATGTGCTATTTTTGCGATCGATTAATTTTATACTAAAATGAACATTCCTCGCTTCAGGCGAACTTATGCTTGCGCATTTGTGCAGTGTGCAATATCACTTCGCAATATCATCATGACGATGGACTTTTTTTTTTGTGGTGACACCATCTGTTCACAGATGAAATTTTCAACCAACGAAGAGAAAGTGACAGACACCTGCAACAATAGGTTAGTGGCTGTAATGCAGGATCGCAAAGCACCAATCCCGACCGCGATGCCCGCATTTCGCTGGAAGTGATATGCATTTTCAAGTCGATAACCTTGATCGTGATGGGTTTGCAGTAAGAATATATTAGGAATAAAGAATACTGGAAACAAGAAATGTGGTTATGGGAGAGAGAATAACTGTGCCATCGTGATTTGCAAAGTGGTGGATGGTATGTAAACACCTGCAATGTTTACCGTGTTGCAAAATACACTCCTGTGTATTTTGCAACAGGGTACATTGTTTTAATGTAGTTACATTGGACAGGGCAGATTTCATCTGTCCTCTAACACGGCAATAATTCATTGAGTCTAATCAATCCCATGTGAGACTCTGCATTTATGGCTTTATTAGTTGAATGATCTAAAGAAGTCTTCATTTCCTCGACACTGTTATCCTTTAATAAGCACTGTTATTCTTGATATTTAAACAGAAATTAAAATTGGGTGAATCATTAGTATTTATCCTTATATGTGACAGCAAATGTTACTGGCACATTATTTGAAATTTTGATTGTTCGCATGCATCTAGAAAAAAGTTTTGCGAAAAAACTTTAAGTTGCGTCATGATAGAGCCAGTTTAGATGAAGTTGCTTAGCGTGAGTATGAACAGTATAATGTGTTCAGGAGATTACACATGGAAAAGGTTTATGGCAAGTTTTCATTTTTTGGAGGCATTATAGCTGAGAAAACCAAAGAAAAAGGCTACCTCGTAACTGGTCTACTGTATTTTTTGGGGACAAATGGGAAAAAACTCATGTGCACAATAAAGAACAATTGTCCATGTCCATACCTCTGGTAGTTGTTAACGTAAAGCCCAGTAAATATCACTGGCGGTAAAGGCCATATATGGGCATGAACGTCTGAGCAAAACCTTGACCTTGCCAAGCGTTCAACATAATTTCGAATTATCACATGAAGCAGAGTTCAGAATTGGTCTTTACCAAGATTTTGAAATCGCAAACTTTTCCTCGGTTAGCGAGGTTAAACTAAGGTCAACCTCGAGGAGTCCAAACATTGCGAAGTTTTATATGTGTACGCTTCTCTAGGTTATACCATTGTCACAATAGAAGAAACCTGGGTAGCTATTACTGTGACTTAAACTGCCATGTGCATATCCTTATGGGTTTTCAATCGCCTTCCATAATAATGCGACCTTGAAGGGGCAGCTCTGTTGCTAGGCGCTATGCAGGCATGCAAACCAATCTTAAAAGGTGAGGTTGCTCAGCAATAACCCTATGTTCGGGTCTAAGTTATGTATGTTTACTGTGTTGGTATCAGAAAACACAAGATCATCCCCAGGTGGTCAAAATTTCCGGAGCCCTCCACTACGGCGTCTCTCATAATCATATGGTGGTTTTGGGACGTTAAATCCCACATATCAATCAATCAAAACACAAGATCTAAACAAGAAAAATATGAGCGGTCACACTGGAAAAATTGTGGGGGCGGTGATAGCACCCCTGCTGAGCGGGGTGCTGACATAACATCTTCAAGATCTCAATTAGTGTTAATGAAAGTGTCAGTTATACAGACCATAGAAAAAGATTATTCAAAAGTGCCCAGAGCACACAAATTAATGCACTTTTGTTTATATGCATGAGCTCCAGTTGCTGTTCATAGTTCATGTGTTACGACTTCAACAAAGAAAAGAAGTCTATGTGAACTTAAGGGCTCCTTTTCTTTGATAGAAGCAACATTAATGAGATATAACAGACAATCATGCCAAGGAAAGTATAGGGGATATTATTAAGAGTAATTGTAATGTAAATGTGAAAGAAAAGTTGAAAAGATAAGTTGCTATGGGCAGGGACCGAACTTGAGAACTTCGAATAATGCGTCCGATGCTCTACCAACTGAGCTACCATGGCAGCTATCCCCCCAATCCACTTTAAGGAGTATGTATCTGTGTACAACTTTGATGCACTGTTATACTGATGTACGTGTAAGATGCGTGTGACATGGGCAAAAGCTTCCAGGCCATGCTGCCATATGATTACATAGGATAACAGCGCGGGAAGTTCCGACCATTTTTGACCTCTTGTGTGTATCACTACTGTCACATGCGCATCCTGTGATGCACGCTGGATGTGCATGTGGTGATCCCGATGTACCAGATGAAACTCCTGACGCCTCTTCGTACTTTTCCACATGAGCAAGGCCATCATTTATGGCGTTATTGCTATATTACACCAGTAAAGGTTGTTCTTTTCACTGTTATGATGATGACACTACATCATTTAGAGAAAACTATAACATCAAATTTAAATATAAGTACTTACAGACATTCATAATGAACAAGTGACTTTTTCATGTGGAAGTGTCGTTTCTACAACTTGAAGAAAAAAGTACTTGTGAAGCAGGCGTACTTACCTGTTTTTCAGGTAAGTATGCCTGTCACTGTCATCTCACCGAAAAACACATTACACTTACTCAAAATGTAACACTGTGTATCACTTGAAACTATTTATTCGGCGCTGTACAACTGACTTGAAATATCTGAATAACTTCGGATCACTTTAAACTTTTGACTTTCTTCACCTCCTTGTATATGCTGTACTTCTGGACTGAAAAGAAAAAAAAGAAGACGGGGATATACAAACACACACACAGACAGGGACTGTTGCACATTCGCAACACTAGCATGGCTCGCTTGCATGCAACCACCTTCTTGGACTCAATTTCACAAGCAGAACTTCGAAGCAGCTGTGAACAGAAGAAACATCGGTGTGGTTTATCTGAAACGCTGGTACCTACAATTGTTCTTGCGAGTGGCACAAGAAACAAAGAAAGCACAGTATAAACAAGATTATGCATTGGAACCAACTCGCTCAATTATCAAACTCGCATGGATGCTCCCTAGACAATGACTAGCGCCCTAAAACATTCAACATCTATTTGGGCTTCATTACACATGTAACGGAGTTTTTTCACAATCAGCCTATATCAGCTACATACGATCAACTACCTCAAAAATTGTCCAGATACAAATACGGTAAACTATTTCGCACGTTTCAGCCTGCTGGTAACGTATACATCTGCCACCTTCAAGCTCGAACTTGTAATCTTGTTCTGCAATGGATCGCACATTTGGGTCCAGCGCGTGTTAGGGCTTCAGTGCAACTGTAGTGCTCTCAATGTTATATTTCGTTATAACCGATGTTCTTTATATCGGAAGTAATTCGGAGGTCGCCACAGCCTAGGCGACACAGTTTGCACATCACAAACAAAATTGACTTCCAGTAGTCGGATTTCATCGCACACAGTCTTACTGCATGCACATGGAGACGAAGCGTAGCTAGGAAAAACTGCCGCTTACTGTAAGGGTCAAACTTCCAGAGCTCTAGTTTGTCGTCCAAGCGAGCCCTCATCTGGACAAATTTGTGCTTCGAGACGATACTCTCCATGAGCACCAGAATGAACCTGCGTTGTAAACAAAGCGATACTGGTTTCGGTTGTATCATTTCTCTTAGGCATGAAAATCGAGACTAAATGGAAAGGGGAAAAAAATGAGGTGCTACCTACTTGGCTTTAACCTTAGCCATTGTGATTTAGCCCTGAAGCCGCCGACGAAGGAGCGAAGGTAAGCGCTCAAACCGCAGTTTTCCTTTACAAAGCTCTAGGACAGGTAGATCGGCTCTCACATCACCGCTCTATCGAGGAGGCCATGTTGGCCATGTGAGTTTGGAGAGTTGATACGACCAAGCCGGAAAAACCGACAGTTTCGCTTTCAACATTGCTTCGCGTTCGAACGTTCCCGCGTACTGTAGCGTAGTTCTCGCGGAATTATAATAATCATCTGAATTAATTTTATTTGTTCGAGGTGCGGAGAGTTCGTAGATACGTCGCTTTATCTTGTTTCTAACGCACCACGAACTTTTTAGATGCGATACTTTCGGTAGTTGTCATGCATTACAAACGCGCCATTTGAGTACACAAATTACAATTTAACAGATTGTTGCGTCATCTGGGGAGCGTAAAGTAAACTATTTTTACCAACTTTACATTGTTGAATACAAATTTGTTTTGCGTGTAGGGAGCGCTTTAGTTAGTAAAGTTTGCAATTGTGGTCAAGAATTGGGACCAGTAAGTGAACCAACGTTGACGCCGAGTTTCGCGTCTTCAACATTCGATAAACTGGCGTGTACGAACTTCCGGCTGCAATTACGGGTCCTGTGCTTTGTTTGTGTGCTGCTGCTAAGCTGGCTGTTGGTGGTGGTGAGATCGCTGCGTGCACATTTGTGGTGTATCCTGTGCGTGCTAAGGTATTGTGAGACCAGCTCGAGAAGCCAGCGGGCCCGCAGGACAGCTTCGTGTCTTCGTCGCACCTAGCAGTCGTCCGTGGGCCTGTCTTCGAGTCAACCCCCCCCCCCCCTTCAACCTTCCAGGCGAGAGATCTATAAAAGAAAGTGAGAGAGCTCGATAGGAGCTGCTAGGACGACCGTGAACTACGAGCAGCCGTCCGCCATGTGTGACTAGCTTCAGCACCCCCCTCAAGCCAGCCTCGGTAGCTTGCTTCTTCTTGCTTCTTCTTTCTTTGTATCTGTGCGTTAGGGATTGCACTTGACGCTAGCACGGTGGTCCGATTTTCATCCATTGGAAGTGGACGCGGTAGATTAAGGTCTTGTCGCGTTTTGGACAGTGTTTTCGCTTTGATAGGGTCGTGTACGGCGCAGCGGCTGCGAATTGCATGCGCGCATTCAACCTGCTGGTGTTTTTTTTTTTTTTTTTTCGTGCGCGCATTTGGGTGCGTCCCTTCCTTCGTTACCGAGAAGCTGTGCGCGCTGGGCTTTATCGCGTTAAAACGGCTCGCACTGGGGCCCAGCTGTTCGCGTTGCGCGTGTTTCTCAGTCCCACTTTCCCTCACGTTTTCGCAGGTATTCGAAGCGGTCGCTTGGTATGGCACATGGATCTCGGCAGGACATCACCAGCAGGAGCTCCCCAGCGTGCATCGCGCGAGCCGTGACGTCATCGGGCCTCAACCAGCTGACTGCTGTTGTCCTCGGCGTTAGCTGCTGCTGCAGCAGGTCACGCTCGTCGTTGTTGTGGCCTGTTGGGCGTCAGTGTTAGCGACGTTGACGGTCCATCGCCTCGTGTTGCTCGCACAGCTGGTGTCCCAACTCGCTGGGGGTTCCCGGGGACGTTCTTTGCTTCCTAGTGCTCGGGTGTGTTCGGTGGTGCGTTGTGGTTTCGCGTACGGGTGCTTGTAGCGCTCCCCAAGCACGTCTGTGTGCGAAGCGCTGTTTCTTCGTTCGTAGATCGCCTTTCGGGGTGTTCCCAAACTTGTCGACTCGTTAGAGCGCCCGTATGGTGTGTGTCTCTGTGTGTGTTTCCGCGTGTTCAACGCTCCTGGAATGAGAGTTCTGACGTAAAGTCCGGGGGGAAGCGTGTCGTTGAGAAGGGAAACCCCACCAACAGCCAACGAGAAACGGTCGGGGCGAGGAGGAAAAGGAGGGGAAGAGTGTTCTTCGAAAATTTCAACGGTGCGCTTGCTTTATTAGTGTGCTTTTCTTCTTGCTCGCCAGCGTTTTTCGCGCCCCTTTCGGGGGGAGAGAGTGGGGGAGGGGTGGGAGAGATCGGAGGTGCGTGGGTTCGGAGGCGTTTGGCAAACCAACAAACGGAGCCAGAAAGGACGTCGAGAAACGAAAACACGAACGGGAAAAAAGAAAGAGCCTCCTCGCCGACACAAGCGGGCTACGAAACAGAAAAACACAACGAAAAAAAAAAAAACCAACACTTTCACCAAAACAAAGGGTTGCAAGCCCGTTCGGCGAGCTTCAAGGCTGGCATCGTGCGCGAAGTCGCAAGAGGACGGCGCAGGATCGTCTCCTCCGCGCAAAAAGCAGCGGGTTGCGCCGTCGGTAGTGATGCAAGCGACTAACGGCTGCTACACTCTGCAAAATGGAGACGAGACCAGCGCGTCCTCGACCGTCGAGAAGGCGGTCTCATCGGCGACCACGACCGCCGCCGCAGTGGTCAACAAGAACATCGTCGCCTCACGCACCGAGCAGGACATCATCCGCCTCATCGGACAACACCTCCGAGGGCTCGGACTCAAGTGAGTACTACCCTCGACACGCTTTCGAACTTCCGCGCCGAACTGTAGCGCCCGTTCTCCACGAGGGAGTCGAACCGCAGACCTTCGGCTGCACACCCTCGCTCACCCACCGGAAGTATAGTACCCGTTGCCGCAGACCGGCAGAGTGTAAACTGCACTGTACAGGCGTTTTGTTCAGTGCACTTGTATCCCGTTTTTCACGCGCGTCACCTGCACACCCTCACCCACACACGAGAAGTGACACCCGTTGTAGATCAGCCCTAACCCGACCGGTGGTCAGTCGCCCCGAGTCGTCGACCTGTAGTTGTTGCGCGCAAGGGTGTCGAACCCCGGACCTTTCACCTGTACGCCGATGCCTTCAAGAAAGGACGGTCGCGACGATTCGTGAAGTGTCAACGCTTTAGTTTCACTTCGAGGCGCCGATTACTTCGCGTTGGATGCGGTGACGCGAGATCCTGCCTTTAAAAATCGCTGTCCATCGTCCCATAACACGCTAGTGCGCGACAAATCACAAAAAATCTACCGACAAGCCTCTTTCCGTGATCATATAGTCATTGGACTTTCGAATGATCTATTAAAAATGTCGAATCCGGATGTTGCCATTACAATGGTTTGTTAGGGACGTCGGTCAAATGTTATTGCGTACGGCTGTGTATAAACGTTGCACTTGTTCTCTGTCACGCACCGTCGAAGCACGTCGCATAACGCTTTGTAAACAACCAGACAGACAGAAAAAAGACACCGTTGCCGCCGATGTTCCTCATTCATTCCACAAAGCCTCCTTATGAGCGGGTGAATGTTTATGCTACGATCCCACCGAAAACACCTGCCGCAGAATTTTTTTTTTTCCCTCGTTTATGAGCGTCGTCAGCGTCGTGCATTGATCCAGAGCGAAAACCGCGCAGTCACTCCTCAGTCCTACGCAAACGACAGGCCCCATCGCGCGTTGTCGCAGTTTCCGCGACGAAGGGAAAAAAAAAAAAACTTGTTTGGACACACACGTGCGCTCTTAGTACATGCAGTTGCGTCGCCCGTCTCACGTGTGCTCACGTGTGCAAGTGTGATGTCGCAACTTCCATGCAAACCGCTTTTTTCTAACCGTTGCCTTGTGCTACGCTGGTTTGCGAGGCGTTGTCGCACTTTTCTGTCGCTAAGAATCGCATAATCGCGCACAGCTGCAGTATTTCACGGTGCGTGAATGTTTTCGTTTTAATTGACCGTTTCGCGGCTCGCGATGCTGCCTCGCTCTGCAATGCCTGTGTCACGACGGCCATTGTGTGGGTGTCGTGTGAACGGTCGTGCTTGTGGTCGGTTGCGTCGCGAAACGTTGAAGCAATGTGTCGGGGAACGCCGGATTCGTTGTTAATCGACGGTTACTCGTAAGGAACCGACCGATACGAACGTGACGATACCTTTCCGCTTGAGCATTCATCGAAGTGTCATCTTCCGACCGCCGGCAATGCGATTGGCGCTATTGTTTTTATCTCGGGCTGCTTTATTGGTCGCTAAATTTCATTAACGTTTCATGCTCATTCTATGTTTTTTAAACTCGCGTTTGAGTTTTTTTTTTTCCCCGCGATGTAGTATCATACGGTTAGCAGTGCTTGAGTGTTGGGGGTTTCTGCCAATGGCGAGCGGACAACCTTACTGACAGGTTTGCTGATGGCTACAGCAGCTGATAAGAAACTTTGCGGTTTGTATGGGGTGGCACCGCGTGATAAAGTGACAAGCTGACGTGCTGTAGTACGTGGCGTGAGGAGCCTTTCATCATGATGAGCGGATATCCTGAAAGCTAGCTCGGTGGCGAAGCGAGGTTAAAAAAAGACGGCAACCGCGGGCACCTTGCGCGATGGTGACCCTGAACATAGCCTCCTAGATTTCCCTTGCCTGTCGGATTATCGGCGGTCACATGGAAAGCGGCCGTCGTCGGAACTATGGTAGTGGCGCTACCTAAGTAGAGGTGTCTTCAAATAAGTTTTTACGTTTTTGGAGCTTACATTCAACAAAAATAACGTAAAAAAAGTTTTTTAAAGGCGTAAACGTGATTATAATTAACCCTACGTAAGTGACGCCGTCATTCAGCAGGCAACTCCTGCAATACAAGGCGTAGCCTCTGAAATTGGTAGCAAACGCCGAAATTGCCGATCTCAAAGGCCAAGTACAAAGACCCTTACTCCTACGTAGGCAGCGCCGCCATAGACGACGCGCGTTTCGCGCTCATCCGGCAGGCAGGGGCCCTGAACGCGGCTGGCGATAAGGCTCTGGCCGAGTTCGCGCATGCGCGCCTCCTGGAAGGGTGTCGCGCAACGCGGAAACTGTTCGAGTGTAGCTAGTGTTTGTTGGTGTAAATAATAACGGCGGATTGTGCTGTTTCCTGTAGAAGCGTGGAAAAAAACACCGGAAAGTGTCGGAAAACGGAGTGTGCAGGTGGCTTTAGCAGATCCTTACACCGCGTGTATTGCCGGGTGTCGTGGACTCGTGGCTTACTCGCAACTCCGAGGCATTCTCGAGATAACCGTTTTTAGGAGTAAACACGTACACTTTTTTCGAACAATATTCATTTTAGGGAGTTGACCAACATATCCAAGTACTCCGGCATCAAGGGTGCTCTTGTGGATTTTTTTTTTTTTGGGGGGGGGGGGGGGGGGGGGGGGTGTTCTTCACATGCTTGCAGAGAACACCAGCTCCCCTGTATCAAAAATTTCCCACTAAAAATTGCTGCCAAAATAAAAGGTCAATATTAATTGAAAAGGGTTAATGCTAGACATATCATTACATATGACAAAGCACTGGTGTTTAAATGTCACATTTACTGCAAGAGGAAACCTGGGGCAGTGGGGAAATAGAGACTGCTATAAAACTAGACAGCATTTTCGGTAAAAACTACTGTGGTTGTACGCAAACATTCATGACTGTTGGATTTTACAGTGAAAGCTCTTATGAGATCACAAGCATTGCATGTGCCATAGTTGTCTGCCGCCACCGGTGTCCGTAACCACTATGGCATGGAATAAAAAAAGTAAATAAATAAAAAACACCAAGGGCACAAGGGATTCGAACCAGGGTCCCCTGCGTGCCAGCCCAGCATTCTACCACTGACCGATGCTGGTGCTTGGAACTCTATTGCAAACTGTCCTTAGGCAGGCTTGTTGTCGGGAAAGGAATCGCGTTAATGAAACCAGTAACAAAGTGTTTTAGAACAGCAAAGGAACAACAAGGCATCACACAATGCGAAATGCCTAAGGAGGGGTTGGTCGAATACTCCAACCCATTACAAAAGCTTGAGGTATAATTCTTAGTCGTCAGCCACAGCATTAAAATATTGCACCAAATTCATTGCAATTGTGTAGTAGGTACCACACTTCGAAGGATGGCATAGTCAATGCCTCCCTACTGCACAATAACTGATAATTGATGGCGTAGTGGGTACCCGGCAAGTCTGCTTGTAGCAATTACCTACTCAAAGAGTGTTTAAAAGACGCTCTGAAAGGCCGCTCTTCCAGCTTTCGCTGCGACTGCTGTGCGTTCCGTGCAGACCTTGCATTTCTTGTTGCTAGTATGGCTGACACTAAATATTCATAGTTATGTTCAGGTATACAGTCTTAGCTTGCTTGTTAGGTAATGATAATGGCTTTGTTGGGGCGATATGCCTGATGATTGCATTGCCCCAACAAAACGTAAAAACTTGTGCACAATTGTTTAGCTATTGTAAGCTCGCAACCAAAAGTGGGAGTGGTTTTATGCTGTGTTACTGTGTGTGTGAAAGAAAAAAAAACTGCCAAACTGGCATGTTAAACAGCGTTGAAAGATATTAAAGAATCTTCAGGTAAACGCAATGCTGTACCCTGTAAGAAAGAAAGGGACATTCACATATGATTTTCATAGGAACTGATAAAGGTATCTGCATCTCTTGAACGTTAAAACTGGACACACTCAACCCATATGTCAACCCTTTAGTGGTATCTCTGATAGTAATAGAAGGCTGTCTTTTGAAACAGAGGCTGTGAAACATTGAAGATGTGGATAGCACATGGAAGTAAAATTTTGTAGAATCGGCTTCTAGGGTTTCATTCAATGAAATTCCATTATTAATCCGCTCACACTCCTGATTTCACATCACTAGCAATTACTTTCTTATACAGCTACCGAGCCCACGGTGTTGCGCTACAATTGTTGTTGAATGTGTTCATGCGATGCGGTCGCTTTTGCTTTTGGCGGGAGATATTGAAACCAACCCTGGCCCTCCCAGTATTGAGGACGTAATGAACGAGTTAAGAAAGCTATCGGCTGGCCAGTCGAAGCTGATTACCGATATGCTAGACCTTAAAAACCAGCTACTAACAACAGACAAAACCCTATCGGACCTCAATAAACGCATGACTGATTTAGAAGGACATTATCACGCCATTTCAACCATCCGAACTGACTTGGACACTATAAAAACAGATACCACTGAAATGGCTAACCGAATTGACCGTCTTGCTGCACAGATGGATGATGCCGAAAACAGGTCCCGTCGCAATAACCTGATCTTTTATAACATTCCCGACCCAAACCCTAAAGAAACATTTGCAGAATCTGAAGAAATCGTCACCCGTCATTGTCATGATCACTTGAAGTTCACCATTGACCCTAATCACATTGAACGCGCACATCGCCTAGGACGCCACACAGGAGGCCATAATCGGCCACTCATTGTAAAATTCAATCAATTCAAAACTAAAGAATCTATACTTTCTAATGGCCCCAAATTTAAGGGAAGCAATTTCAGTGTTGGTGAAGATTTCTCTCATCCCGTTAGAGTTGCTCGTAAAAAACTGATCGCCTTCGCTAAATCAAAATCTACTTCCTACTCATTGCGGTTCAAAACATTGCACATTGGTACCAAACGCTACGTGTATGACCACTCCACAGATTCTGTTCAGGAAATGTTGTAGCAATTGCCCCATCAACAAAATAGGCCTCATCGCCCTCGATCCGCCCCTCGATCAAACTTATTG